AGTCTTGCTGGGGCTCGAACCCGAGGGTCTTTGATTCCAAATGTGGCGCTGTTTCGGGGTGTCTGACTTGGGAAATGTTTGCAAAATGCAAAGCACCCCATGGAAATCTAATATTTTTTCTTTTAAAAAAATACATTTTTATTGATTTCAGAGAGGAAGGGATAGAAGCATCCATGGTGAGAGAGAATCATGGGTCAGCTGCCTCCTGCATGACCCCGAGCCCGCAACACGGGCATGTGTCCTGACCAGGATTCGAACCCTGACTTCCTGGTTCATAAGTCGACGCTCAACCGCGGAGCCACGCCGGTTGGGGCTCTCCCACCGTCTTCGTTATGTCTGGGGATGTGCGTACCCTGAGTCGGTAAAGGTTTCTCACCGACGGCCTCCTCTAGGAATTTTTATTTTTTTTCAGATCAAGAAGCTGAGGCTCAGCACGGTTAATTATTCCACAGGCGCAGCGTGGCCCAAGTCAGAACCCCAATGAGTCCAGGCCACCTCGCTCCAGGGTCCTGGCCCCCAGCCACCATCATACCCCGTGTCAGCAGCACAGAATTCACGCGCACACACGTGCAATTGCATTTGAAGAGGGTGCCTTTGTGTGTGTGTGAGGGGACGACGACATCCCACATACAAAAGCCATTGAGTTAGATATTAACTGAGGACACATGAAAGCTAATGAACTTTGGAAAACAGGAGCCATCAGAGCGTGTTGCTTTGTGCGTGCGTGCGTGTGTGCGTGTGCGCGTGTGCGTGTGTGCGTGTGTGTGCGCGTGTGTGTGCGTGCGTGTGTGCATGTGTGTGCGTGCATGTGTGTGTGTGTGCGCGCGCGCGCGTGTGTGTGTTAACCTATTTTGCTAACAGACCATCCGCTAATCATCAGCCTGAATTCAGCAGTGCCCTGTTCCCTAGACACACACACACACATATACACACACATATACCCCCAAGGTGCTGGCCCGTGCCACCCCCAGGAACCCAGAAACCACCCTGGGTCCGTAGGTGACGCAGATCAACCGAGAAAGCAAACGGCCTCAGAGACCAGCAACATCATAGGCCAGTTGCCACCCGTCATCGCAACACCCACGCGGAGGGGATGCGGCAGAGACGACACAACCACAGGTCGTATTCTGGCCACGGGATCGCAGATCCTTCTTGCAGTTCTGGGCATACTTGTGCTCTCCCCCACAAGCCCGTCAGACCCCAAGCCGCGGGGCCTGGGACCCAGGGCGCCCGTGGGCAGCTGGGCGCCACTCACAGGGAGGGCGCACCGGTCCCCGGGGTGCGTTGGGGAGCGGGGAGGGCATCGTGCGAGGAGCAGGGTGGGGAGACCAGATGGCTTGTCCCTGCGCGTGATTCAGACCTTCCTGTTGTAAAGGATTTTGTTCGACAGGAATTCCCAGAATGGCTGACACGCCCACTTTCGGGCAGGCCCCAGCCCCGCCCGCAGCCTGTGGTGAAGGAAGGGGTGGGGGGGGACTGTGCCCACTTGTACGCCCAGCGCCACTCGGGGGTGCTGAGAGCTTCGGGGACGGGAAGAGGTCAGACTTACACTGACTGAATGGACTCCATGGTTCTCGCGCCCTGGGAGGGAAGCAGTTTTGGGAGGACCCGTTTCCTGTCTTTGCTAGACGCTCGACCCATCTTGACCTCTCATTTCTTTTCTTTTTATTTTATTTTTATATTTTTACTGATTTCAGAGAGGAAGGGAGAGGGAGAGAGAGAGAGAGAGAGAGAGAGAAACACCAATAATGAGGAGGAATCATGGACCGGCCGCCTCCTGCACGCCCCACACTGGGGATGGAGCCCACCACCCGGACCTGTGCCCTGACCAGGAATCGAACCCTGACCTCCTGGTTCACGGGTCGACGCTCACACCAGCTGGGCCGGGCTTCTTATTTCTTAATCTCCCAGGCAGATCCGTGTCCAGGGCTGGTTTGGAGGTGATGACAGGGTGTTGACTGGGTGGCGAGATTGGGGCGTGCAGTCGGCACAGACAGCGGTCCCCCCTGCACCCCGGAACTGAGGGAATGAATCTCAGAGCCTGGTCTCGAAGGCACCAAAGCGCAAGGGCCCTGTGATCGCTGAGGACGACCCGGGAAGTGGGTCTGAGAGTGTCTGTACTTGCAAACGGAATTGCCGCGCCTGGACCAGCGATCACCACCAGGCTACCAACAGGAGGAGAGAGCAAGAGCCAGAAAAGAACCAATGGCCCTCACCAGGCCGGCGTGGCTCAGTGGTTGGGCGTCGACCTATGAACCAGGAGATCAGGGTTTGATTCCCTGTCAGGGCACGTGCCCAGGTTGGGGGCTCGGTCCCCAGTGGGGGGCGTGCAGGAGGCGGCCGGTCCATGATTCTCTCTCATCATTGATGTTTCTCTCCCTCTCCCTTCCTCTCTGACATCAATAAAAATATATTTTTAAAAAATTTCAACTTAGGGTACAGGGAAGGCTTGATGAAAGAGATGGCCTTTGAGATGCTGGAACAGCTGAGCATGGAGTGTGCTATCCCTGGGAATTATTCCACAATCAAGTTCCTGGAACCCCCTCCCTTCCTTCCCACTCCCAGTTCATAGTGGTGTCTTTAGTGACCCCCCTTCCTCCCAGTAAATACAACTTTGTGTGCAGAAGTATTTTCCTGGGAAGAAAGGTCATAGCTCTTATTAGATTCTCAAAGGTCTGTGGCCCCTGCTCTAAGAAGCTGTAGAGCAGGATATCTAAGAAGTAAATACAAATAAAAGCTTTAAAAAATACATTGTAAAAAATGATCTGATCTTTTCTTAAAATATATTCTTATTGATTTCAGAGAGGAAGGAAGAGGGAGGGAGAGAGAGAAAAACATCAATGATGAGAGAGAATCATGGATCGGCTGCCTCCTGCACGTCCCCCACTGGGGATTGAGCCCCAAACCCCGGCTTGTGCCCTGAGGGAGGAATCGAAACAGCAACCTCTTGGTGCACGGGACGACGTTCAATCCACTGAGCCACACTGGCCCGGCCAAGTGAGAGCGTTTAAAATGTCCCTCGCTCCCTGGATTAATTAATATCACCTGTGCTGTGCTGCATTTTGTCAGCTAAGGGACCAGTAACTGCAGCGGGAGACGTTTAGGGGCTGGGGAGGGCTGGGGAGCTCCAGTCAGGACCAGGGTAAGAGGAAAACGCAGGGCCCCTGGTTGGAAAATCACGGAGAATTTCAGAATGGTACAGCAGAACACTGAACCAAGCACAAGGCCCTCTCTGAGCGAGGCCCCGCCTCCAGCATGTCTTCCTGGACACACCAGGGGTGCATCCCAGGTGTGCTGTGTTGCTTTGCACTTCCATTCACCCCTTCATCCATTTGTGGGGCCTTTTAAATTTATTTTTATTTATTTTTTAAAAATATATTTTATTGATGCCGAAACCGGTTTGGCTCAGTGGATAGAGCCTCAGCCTGCGGACTGAAAGGTTCCAGGTTCGATTCCGGTCAAGGGCACGTACCTGGGTTGCGGGCACATCCCCAGTGGGAGGTGTGCGGGAGGCAGCTGATCGATGTTTCTCTCTCATCGATGTTTCTAACTCTCTGTCTCTTTCCCTTCCTCTCTAAAAAAATCAATAAAATATATTTAAAAAAATATATATATATTTTATTGATTCTTTACAGAGAGGAAGGGAGAGGGATAGAGAGTTAGAAACATCGATGAGAGAGAAACACCGATCAGCTGCCTCCCGCACACCTCCCACTGGGGATGTGCCCGCAACCCAGGTACGTGCCCTTGACCGGAATCGAACCTGGGACCCTTCAGTCCGCAGGCCGAGGCTCTATCCACTGAGCAAACTGGTTAGGGTGGCCTTTTTTATTTTAATATATTTTTTATTGATTTGCAGAGAGGAAGGGAGAGGGAGAGAGAGACAGAAACATCAATGATGAGAGAGAATCATAGATCAGCTGCCTCCTGCACGCCCCCCCATGGGGACCGAGCCTGCAACCCGGGCATGTGGCCTGCCCGGGAATCGAACCGTGATCTCCTGGTTCACAGGTCGACGCCCGGAGCCACCCGACCGGGGCCATTTGTGGGGCCCCCAGGATGTGTCCGGGGCTGTGTCCGAGCTGCGGCTGCCAGATCCAGGAGCATCCACTGAGTCACATTGGGCGTCGACATGGCCAAGGCCTTGTCCTGGGTCGTGGGGATGGGCCTCCATGGGCTTTGGAAGAAGACAGTGAACAAAGGGACGGGGGAGAGGTCGCGCGGTGGCAGGTGCGGGCGGGAGGCAGGGTGTCGGTGCGGTGGTGGCACTTTGACCTGGGATGACCTCGGAGCCGGCCCCACGGGGGTGATTGCGCCACGGCCAGCGTGGGAACCGGGGCAAAGGCTGCACAGGAGGGAGGATGGACGCCGAGCGAGCTGGGCCGCCGATGCGGGGAGCGTGACCCAGTAGAGGGAGCGACAGAACCCGGCGGCGAGGGGGCGGGGCGCGAGGGCCGCGTGCACGCGTGGGGGCGGGTCTTGATGCGGGGGCGGAGCCAGGTTTGCGTCCGGGGACGGGACGAGGCCTTGCGTCGGGGGCGGGGCGAGCGGCCTCTGCTGGTGGCGGCGTGGGCGGGGCTCGAGACGTGGGCGGTGGCGGGTTTGCGGTGGGGGCGGAGCGACGGGCGGGGCGCGCGGTGAGCGGCCTCTGCTGGTGGCGTGGGCGGGGCTTGAGGTGTGGGCGGAGCCGGGCTTGCGTCGGGGGGCGGGACGAGGCCTTGCGTTGGGGGCGGGGAGAGGGGCGGGGCGAGGGGCGAGCAGCCTCTGCTGGTGGCGTAGGCGGGGCTCGAGACGTGGGCGGAGCCTAGCTTGCGTCAGAGGCGGGGAGAGGGGCGGGGCGAAAGGCCTCTGCTGGTGGCGTGGGCGGAGCCGGGCTTGCGGCGGGGGGCGGAGCGACGGTGGGGGCGCGCGACGAGTGGCCTCTGCTGGTGGCGTGGGCGGGGCCTGAGGTGTGGGCGGAGCCGGGCGGGCGGCGGGGGGCGGGGCGAGGGCGGGGCGGGCGGCCTCTGCCGGCGGCGGGGCGGTGTCGCGTCGCCCTCCTCAGCCGCGGGCTGCCGCCTCCTGCCGGCCGCGTCGGTTACAAAGGCCGCTGCCGGGCCGGCCGCCCTCAGCGTCTTCCGGCCGTGACGGCGGCGCGGGCCGGGCTCCCCGCCGGAGATGAGGGAGGATGTCGGTGTCGGGGCTGAAGGCTGAGCTCAAGTTCCTGGCGTCCATCTTCGACAAGAACCACGAGCGGTTCCGCATCGTCAGCTGGAAGCTGGACGAGCTGCACTGCCAGTTCCTGGTGCGGCCGCCGGGCAGCGCGGCCTCGGCGCTCACGCTGCACTGCAACATCACGGTGCGGGCCGGGCCGGGCCGGGGCCGGGGGCAGGCCGGGGGCGGCGGACAAAGACGCCCGCCCGGGGCCCGGCCACCGCCGCCCCGCGAGGCCGGGGGTGGAGGCGGCGCGGTCTGGGCGCCCCGGGCTGGGCCGCTGCCGGTTCGCCGCCGCGTCGCCGCGGGGCTGGGGGAGGCGACGGGGGTCCGGGCGCTGAGGGGCCGCCGGGTCGCCGCGGGCGGGCGGAGGGGACGGGCGGGCGGGAGGCCGGGGCCGCCTCCGGGCTCAGGCCGCGCAGCCCCGGCCGCCTCGGCACGTCCGCGTTTCGGGAGGAGCCGACCCGAGAGCCCGAGGCGCCGGGGGAGGGACGGGGCGGGGGGAGGGAAGGGCGGCGCGCAGGTGCCCGAGCGCGGACCGGCCACTTCCGGCCACAGGCCGGGGGACCCTCGCGCGCACTTTGGGGGACGCGGGGCGCCCCTGAGAGCCCGGGGCTGGGGGAACCGGCCGGGGGGGGGGCGACCTCCTCTTCCTCCTCCTCCTCTTCCTCCTCCTCCTCCTCCTCCTCCTCCTCCTCCGAGCACCCACCCAGCTCGGGGTCCCTCCCTGGAGCCGGGGGCCGAGGCCGGGGAGCGACCAGGTTCCCCTGAAAATGGGGTTCCCGGGTTGCGGGGTGAGGGTGGGGGGTTGGGGGGGCAGGTGTGTGTTTCCGGAAAAACCAGTCCGGGGAGCGCTGCGAGGGGGGGAGGGAGGGTTTATTGAGCATCCAGCGTGCGGTTCCCGGTTCGGTTCTGCAGAATCGGGCCGAGCGCCGTGTTGTTATTATTGTTTTTTTGGGGGGGGGTGTCGGGAGGGGGGTTGGCGGGGAAAGAAGAGGTTTCCACAGCAAAAGGTGTGACTCAGGGCCGTGATATCATCGGGAGGAAAAAGCCCCAGGCAGCACTCACTCTGGTTTTTTTTTGGGGGGGGGGGGGGGAGTGGGGACGCCCCCGAGGGGAGCCTGGTGGTGGTGGTTGGGCTTTCACGCAGATGAGCCCGGTTTCCCCCCCTCCCCACCCCGCAGAGAAAAATTTATCTGAAAAAATAAACACACAAACAAAAACCCGAAAACCAGCCCGGCCGGTGTGGCTCAGTGGTTGGCTGCAGGTCAGCGCACCACGTGCCCCAGTGGCTGGCTCGATCCCCAGGAGGGGCCTCCGTGCAGCGGGCAGCCGACCTGTGATTCTCGTCATTTTTTAAAATCTTTTTTTAAAAATTTTTTATTTATTGATTGATTTTAGAGAGAGAGGATGGGGGAGAAGGGAGTGAGAGAGTGCCATAATGTGTTATTCGCTTATTTATGCATTCATTGATTGATTCTTGTATGTGTCCTGACCGGGAATTGAACCTGCAACCTTGGGGTGTTGGGATGATGCTCTAACCAACTGAGCTACCCGGCCAGGGCTTCTTAAAATCTTTATTGAAAGTATTACATGTGGGCCCCCCCCCCCTTTATTTTTAAGAATTATTTTATTTATTTATTTATTTACTTATTTTTAAATATACTTTTATTGATTTCAGAGAAAAAGGGAGAGGGAGAGAGAGAGAAACATCCATGATGAGAGAGAATCATGGACCGGCTGCCTCCTGCACGCCCCACTCTGGGGATGGAGCCCACAACCCAGGCATGTGCCCTTGACCGGGAATCAAACCCCGGACCCTTCAGGCCTCAAGTTGACGCTCTACCCACTGAGCCACACCAGCTAGGGCTTGATTGATTTTTATAGAGAGAGAGAGAGAGGAAAGGGGGGAGAGAGAGAGACATTGATTTGTTGTTCCACTTATTTATACATTCATTGGTTGATTCTTTTTTAAAAATATATATATTTTTATTGATTTCAGAGAGGAAGAGAGAGATAGATACATCAATGATGAGAGAGAACCATGGACCAGCTGCCTCCTGCACGCCCCCTTCTGGGGATCGAGCCCGCAACCCGGGCCTGTGCCCTGACCGGAATCGAAGAACCCGCGACCCTTCAGTCATCGGCCTCTTGGTTCATAGGTTGACGCTCAACCTCTGAGCCACTGTGGCTGGGCCGTTGGTTGATTCTTGTTTGTGACCTGACTAGGGGTCGAACCCACGACCTTGATAAACGGGAAGGACACTCTAACCAACGGAGCTACCCAGTCAGGGCCTCCATGTCCCCTTTTTCCCCATCGACCCCCTCCAGGCCACCCGCCCCCGGCTCACCTCCCACTGTGTGTGTCCGTGGGCCGTGCATATATACATGCACGGAGGGTCTTCGGTTGGTCACCTCCCTCCCTCCCTCCCCCCCCTGCTTCCCTCCGAGACCCTGGACTCTGTCCCCGCTTCCATGGCTCTGGATCCACTCCTTCCTCCCGTTTATCTTGTTACTTAGATTCCATATATGAGGGCGTGATTCTCATCGTTGATGTCTCTCTCTCGGTCCCTCTCCCTTCCTCTCTGAAATCGATAAAAACATTGATTTTAAAGAAAACACACACAAAACCACCCACCAAAGCTTGAGGAAAGTGTGGCCGAGAAGCCCAGCAAGAAGGAGAGCGCTTTTCCAGCAGCGGGAACAGGAAGTAGGAGCGCTGGCCTCAGGGTGACCGTCTCGGGAGAGTGTGGGGTGATGCCCAGGGAAAGGCAGGGCTGGTTTGAAGGACAGGAGCCGGACGGGTAGGCCGTGGGGAGCCACCGAGTTGCCCAGGGAACTTGGGAAAGGCGTTCGCCATCCAGGAGCGGGAGTGGGTCTCCACGGGGGTGTGTGTGTGTGTGTGTGTGCTTATTTATTTATTGTTAAATGTGTTTTTATTGATTTCAGAGAGAGAGAGTGAGAGAGAGAAACATCCATGATGAGAGAGAATCATGGACCGGCTGCCTCCTGCACGCCCCCCCTGGGGATGGAGCCCGCAACCCTGGCACGTGCCCCGACCGGGAATCGGACCCTGACCTCCTGGTTCACAGGTTGATGCTCAGCCCCTGAGCCGTGCCGGCCGGCTGGCGACAGCAGGGGCTTTAGGAGAGGAGTGTGTGGTGCTGGGCTGGCACTGAGCGCCCGGGGCACAGGGATTCCCAGTGACTGATTGTCAGTCAGGCTGCCACCCGAGGCATTGTCTCACCTCCGGGCCTCAGTGCCCATAGACCACACGCGCAAGGACGGCGACTGATGGCCTGGGTTAGGAAGTGGAGCACGAAGGGAATGGGAGCCCGGCCGGCTGGCGCGGCTCCCTGGCTGAGCGTCGACTTAAGAACCAGGAGGTCGCGGCTTGATTCCCGGTCGGGGCACAGGCCCGGGTGGCGGGCTCCCTCCCCAGTGGGGGGCGTGCAGGAGGCGGCCGATCAGTGATTCCCTCAACATGGATGTCTCTCTCTCTCTCCCTTCCTCTCTGAGATCAATAAAAATATATTCGAAAAGAAGAAGTGGATGACACACCGGGAGGAGGGCTTGGTGGGGACTAGGGCAGCGGCACCACAGGGAGACGCCGTTCGAGTCGCGATGCTGGGCCTGTCTTCATGTTGACCAAGAAGCAGCGTGTGCAGCTCCTGTGACGTGTGCGTGGACGGCGCCTCACGGGTTGTTTCTCACACGCACGCACACGCCAGTTTCTGAAGAACCCTCCCAGGGTGCCGCACCCTCTCCTTCAGGCTTCTGCACGCCGTCTGTCCCGTGTGGCGTGTGCGCCATTCACCCCCCCACCCCCACCCCATCGGCCTTTCCAGTCTGACCGCCCCCAAGGGCTCGGAAATGGGGCAGAGTCAGCTCATGCCGACGTGTGTCCTAGTCCTTGCGACCTGCGCCTTGGGTATGTTTTCTGTTGTAATAGTTGGGGCGCTTGCCTTTTTTTTAAGTTACTGTCGTCTTTGTTGTCTGTTATCTGGCTTTGGAACAACAATGATGGCGTAGGAGCCACCATGGGAATCCCGTGTGGCCTGGACATGTTCTGGGGGAGGAGCCCTCAGCGGCCGGAGCACCGCGTGCCCAAGGTCTCTTCGTGGGCCTGACCTCTCTTTATTCCCTCATCTCGGTCCTCAGTTTGCCCAGGGGATGTCCTGCCAGCTGCCCTGGCTGGTGCCCCGAGGGCTCTCTTTCTAGGATGGGTTTGAGTCTCCGGGGCCGGGCCTCCTGGAGCTCGTCAGTGCTCCTACGGCCCCCCTCCTCAGCAGGGCCCGCGTGGCTGGGGTAGCTGCCGTCATGGGGGCCCCCTCTCTCTCCGGGGGGCCACCTCTCTCATGGGGGGCCACCTCTCTCTCCGGGGGACCACCTCTCTCTCCGGGGGGCCACCTCTCCTGGGGGCCCCCTCTCTCTCCTGGGGGCCACCTCTCTCATGGGGGGCCACCTCTCTCTCCTGGGGGCCACCTCTCTCACGGGGACCACCTCTCTCACGGGGACCACCTCTCTCTCCGGGGGACCACCTCTCTCACGGGGCCCACCTCTCTCTCCGGGGGACCACCTCTCTCACGGGGACCACCTCTCTCAGGTCCCGTTTCATCCTGGCAGCACCTTGGTTCGAAGACAGAGCGGACGTGTCTTGTGGGAGCAGGGTGGGCACATCGAGGGGCTCTGCTGTGAGAACTTTCAGCTTCCATGTCACCTGGGTCATTAGGAAAATTTAAAATTTCTTTTTAAAACAGTATGTTTTTATTGCTTTTTCTTTTTTTTTAATCCTCACCCAAGGATACTTTTTTCTCCATTGATTTTTAGAGAGAGTGGGAGGGAGGGGGGGAGAGAGAGAGAGAGACCCTGTGAGAGACACATCGATGGGTTGCCTCCTGGACACACCCGACCAAGGCCAGGGGTTAAGGCTGCAACCGAGGTACGTGCCCCCGACCGGAATCGAACCCGGGACCTTTAGTCCCGGGGAGGGCCAGCGCTCTAGCCACTGAGCCACACGGGCTCGGGCTGTAATCTCCTCCTGAAGCTGCTCATTCCCTTCCCCCTCAGCCCCTAGGGCCTCTCGCTTCTCTTTCTGTTTCTGTTCATGGTGATTCCCAGTCCAGTTCGGCAGAGCCGCTCACATGGTCATCAGGTCTCTGCTCAGCCCGCCCGCTCCTGGCCCCTCCTCCTCAGGGGAGGCCCCTCCTCCCGTCCTGGGCTGGGCCTCAGCTCCTGGAGTCAGACACTGAAGGACCAGCGAGTTCTGCTTCCTGGGGGTCGGAGGTCCTCTGGCACCTACAGTTTCTCACTTCCCTCCGACTTCTCCCCGCGCCGGATCCCGGAATGGGGGGCCGGGGGGGGCGGCTCTGCACAGAGAACGGTGTTAGGCAGCGGTGCTTCCCTTTGCCTTTCTTAGTCTTTTTTTTTTTTTTTTTTTTTTACGATGGCAGGGGGAATGTCCTATAATTACCCTTTTCATCTTCCACTCGGCAAACGTTCAGTAAATACAGGGTTTCCCAAAAAACGCACACCCACCCTGAATGATGATAAGTCAGTGGTTATTGACGTACAGGTCATTTCCAACAGTTAGGAGACCCGGCAGAAATGAGTCATTAGTTTGGTCAGTGCCTGTTTGCCAGATCGAGGACCGTTCTGGCCCGGCCCTGCTGCCGCCGCGAAGCTGTGGGATCGCAGACGTGAAGAAGCTTCCGCACCATATGTGTGTGCCCTCGGCCCGCAGGCTGTGGCCGGCTTTGTCCCGTGTCCCCCTCTCATGTGTCCCCATCAAGACGGTCTGGTGGCACTTTAGGATAAATCTTCTTTCTTCAAGCTTAGCCCGGCTCCACCCATTAATTTCAAATCAGTTAAACGAGAAAAAGAGCGAAAATTAAGGGCATTGACAGTGGTCAGTGCACACATGCTTTCGGGGACACCTTGGTCTGTTGCCTACATGGTCAGTCTGGCTGTGCAGTTTGAACAGAAGACTTGCCTGTCCTGTATGTTAACCGCCACGAGTCTGTCATGGGCACGCGCACATGTGAGGGGCCGCGTGGGGCTGGAGAGGAAACCTGTGACTTGACCTCAAGTTCGTATGAAAGATGCCTTTACGAAGTGAAAGACCAGACGTGTTGTTCTCTAGGCAAAGGGAATTGAGCTGAAATGTTTTCTGTTTTGTAAACGTGCCCTGATCTTAAATATGACGGGCAAAGAGGGCTGTTTCAACCTCGGGGAGTCTTTCCTAATAAAGTAGGACGTCGAGGTATGCAAGGCGGTCGGTCGTGCAAACCTACATCCCATTGCCAGTCGGTGCCAACCTCCGGTTACGATCACACCCGGAGGCCCAGCAGCGTTTGACTCACCTGGGCAGCCCTGTGGGAGCTCATTCTCCCTGTGGACTGAGTGCTTGTGTCTGGGAACTGCTGGCAGGGATTGGGTTAGGGCAGCGGTTCTCAACCTGTGGGTCGCGACCCTTTCACAGGGGTCGCCTAAGACCATCGGAAAACATCTATAATTACATACTGTTTTTGTGATGAATCACTGTGCTTTCATTATGTTCAATGTGTCACCATGAAATTGGGGGTCACCACGCCATGAGGAACTGTATTAAAGGGTCGCGGCGTGAGGAAGGTTGAGAACCACGGGTTTAGAGAGACCCTCCCCCCGGACGTAAACTAGCCAGTAAACAAAAAACCCTCGTTATTTGTTGATAAGTCATCACTCTCTTCTGCATGAGTGGCTGTTCGCCCGGCTACTTGTGGTGCAACCCTTTCCCTTAATTAAACTTCTGTTCCTCATTGCCCAAAGCCTCCCTTCCCCCAGGAGCAAGATACTAAGTTTTAAAATGTTAGAGCTTCGGGTTCATGGGAGAGAGAAAGGCTTATTCTCAGTAGCTGGGACCGTGAGCAGAGCGCGTCTTGCTTTTCTGTGGCTTAGATCACTGTTTTTGCCCCCATGAGCGCACATAGGAAAGCTCTGTGTGATGACTGTTCTCTCAAATACGGAAGTGGTGGTGTCCTCGGCGGCTGACGAGCACTTCATTTTGAAAATGCTTTACAGTAATTTTTCACGGGAAGTAAATCGGGGCTGTCAGTTTTATGTGTTTCTAGTCTGACACCGATAGGAAGTAGCCCAGGCAGGTCACAGGAGGACAAACGAACGAAACCTGACCAAGAGCCCACGGCCTTGTTTCGGGCCTGCCCTCCTGGCCGGCCACCTTTCTAAAGGAAGCGCGGAGAAATGCTGGGCATGACGGCAGCTGAGTGTCCTTCAGGCCAAGGAGACCTGTGTTCATGCATCGGACCAGTTTGTAACGTCGAGTCGGATTCCTAGTCCCCCCCCCCGCCCCCCATGCCCCTCCTCGGAAGGAACAGGTCCACAAAGAGGAGACCTGGGTGTCCGTGTGGTGAATGCGTGGCCCTTAGCAACGTGGCCTCTTGTTAAGCTTCCTTCGACCTGGGGAAGGACGGTGTGAGACAAGGGTCAGCAGGTCGAGGGCTGGGGAGGTGAGTGGGATCCCCACCGCGAAGGTAAGGCACCGCCTGAGCCAGAGTGACGCAGCCCCTCCCCAGGCTGTGGGCGCGGGGTCCGCGCCGTCCCCTCGGAGTCCTGGAGGACGGGAGGCTGAGCCGGGGAGCCCGTGGGTCCTGAGCGTCCGGGTTGGCCTTCCAGCCTCCGTGCCGCGTGGAATGCTCTAGAAGGCTCTGACTCGGCCACATGTGCTGCTCGGAGCACTGACGCTGCTCGGAGCACTGACGCGTCCCCCATCACGGGCGTTTTCACTTCCTTTGGTGTCACTGCGTCTGTGGGTTCCGGTCATGGAGATGCTCAGCTGCTTACCTGCAAAATCATGAGCAGGGAGCAATTCCTTCTTATCTTCTTGTAACTTTCTTTTTATGTTGTCAAAGCATTTGGAATTTTATGAAGGTTCTGTATGGTTCTGTGAGTTTATTTCCTTCTCCACGCCACACTGATTGGACAGCAAAGTGTGACAGTAACGGTCCCATAACTGGTCTCCAGAAGAATAAAAATATTAATTAAAAAATCCATTAAAAGAAATTAATTTTTCCACACATGGATTTTAATATATTGCTTTTCCTCCCCATATATATATATTTAATTGATTTCAGAGAGGAAGGAAAAGGGAGAGAGAATTAAAAACAATGATGAGAGAATCATTGATTGGCTGCCTCCTGCGCGCTCACCCCCCCCCCCCCCCCCCCCCCCCCACTGGGGCCTGAGCCCGGAACCGGCTTGTGCCCTGACGGCTTCCCCGGGTGTGCTTCACTGAAGTCTGTGGTCACCTGACCACTGAGTGGTCTGGCTGAGCTGCATGCCCAGGTTGGTCTGTTCTGGTGTGTAACTAGGTCTCTGTTACAGGAGTCGTACCCAGCTTCCTCACCAATATGGTTCGTGGACTCTGATGACCCAAACCTGACGTCAGTTCTGGAACGTCTAGAAGATTCTAAGAACAACAGTTCGGTAAGAAAATCAGTCCCGCTCCTCTCTCTTTTTCTTCGTGACCATTAGGGAACTGCTTTTCCCGTCAAGAGTCTATAACTGCAGAAATTCCAGAGGGATACAAATGAAAAGTGTTTTATATAGAGAGAAATGCAACTTTCCATTTCACAAAGAAATTAAAACCTATTTTCCTTTTTATAAAACTGATGAGTAACATTTGTGAGAGAACTAGTAAAAGAAGGGGAACATAAAAATCTCCCGTAGTTTCTCTGCCTGCTATAAATAACCATTGTTGACATGGTGTGTTTTTCCTTTCAGTTTTTCTCCCTTGTAGTAAAGTACATATACTCATACATATGTTTAAGTAGTTGAGGTCATATTCTACATAGTTTTATATCATTTTTTAAAGTTAATATTATTACTGTATTTTCCCATGATGTTATAAAGTCCTTATAGAAAATATCAGTCACTCTTCACAGGTGACATGATTATTTACCTGGAAAAAATCCAAAGGAACCAACTGAGAAGACAGTTTTGAGGTGACTGGTTAAAGTGCTGTTACATGAAAATCAGTGGTTCCCCCAAATATCAGCTTTAGTCACTTAGAAAAGCATTTTGTTGGCGATTACAATTAAATTATTAAAAAAATGAACTACCTAGGAATAAACTTAGGTGTATCAAGAAAACTCTAATAATTTGCTGAGTGGAATGAAAGGTAGTGTGTTCCCAGATGGGCAGACTTCATTTTATAAACATGTTAATTATCTCCATAGCTTCATGTTAATTTATAAATTGAATACAATTCCAGTAAAAATAAAAAAATCAAACAGGCTTATTTTTGGAACTTGACAAAATGAATCTAAAGTCTGTTTTGAAGAGTAAAAATAATAATGAAGTTGAAGGAAAAGTAATGAAATGAGACTTGTTCAACTCGGTTTTACATAAAATACTGTGCACTGACACTGGGCTGGATGGATAAAGGCAGTGGGAATTTAGAAAGATTCAGGTCATTGAGAATTTAGAGTAAGTGAAACTGAGTTAAAGCGCTCAAATAGGAAAGGATCGATTATCCTATTAATAGTATTGGGAGAAATGACCATTTTGGGGAAGTTAGAGTCTTAGATTATTGTCAAAAGAGGTTACTTTTGCTTTAAACATGATTATACCTAAAATTAAGAACATAAGAACGTCAGTTTGAAAAGGATTTTGGAAGTGAAGGCTGGTCTGGAGGGGCCTGAGGGTGGAGGTAAAAGGCTAAAGCAGGAGGCCGCGTCCGCACCTGCCGCAGGGGCCACAGGACGGGCAGGGGCAGGGGCCGCAGGACGGGCAGGGGCCGCAGGACGGGCAGGGTCAGCTCCTGCGGCCACCTTTTCTAGACCTGAGGGTGTGTGTGTTGTGACAGAAATGATGGGGTTATGTTCCGTGTCTAAGAGATCCCATCAGAAATGCTCATATAATGAAGTGACACAGGGTATAAAACGGGGTCTGCTTTTATAAAGAAGAATGTATTCTGGTCACCGCAGAGCCCAGTCTATCGACAGAGTGAGCTGTCTTTCCGCACCTTCCGTTCACCTCGTGCATGACAGTGGGGTCTGCTTCTCGTGGCGTTAACATTCTTCCCTTTAGTCGCTGAATCAGGGCTCCTTTTCCCGTTCTGCACTTGACCCGACTGCAGCATGAGACGTCGGTGGTTCCCTTACTGAAACGCGCCTCCATTCAGCATTGATTACTTAGTGGCCACAAGGAAGACCTGGTTAGATGAACACGCCTGCGTGCGGTTTTGTGCTAGAATGTTACGTTGTAGTTACAAAGCCTGCAGCCCGTCTTCTCGCAGGGGCACAGACAACTTTCCGAGCCGTTCTGCGTGAAGAAGCCAGGCGCACGGTACTGTCTGTAGCCTGGCCTGGCCGCTGTTGGGTGAGAAGTGCGGCTCTCCGCTGGCTTATGCACTTTCCCTGGGTGGACACAGGAAGCTGTTAGTCGTAGGACACAGGAAAGTGTGTGGTTTTTATTGACTGGTTTCTGTGTGAGGCTCCGTAGTAAGTGATGAGTGCAGAACACAGGCAGGTCTGTCCGCGGGGAACTGGGCGTCGGTGAGGACTTCCGCCAGGGCCCTGCCTCCGGGCTAGTCCCTTGTTTCTCTGCCGCGTCTCCCCGGTCCGCCTCTTCCCCCTCGTGTTGTGCCTTCGCTGGGCAGCCTCTTACTCCTTAAGCCGTGCCTCCAGGCACCTGCATCTGAGCTAAAACGACTTCCAGAGCTTCCAGCCCGTCCGCGCTGTGTGTCTGTAGACCCAGGGACCCGCACTTGGTGCACCTCCTTGTCCAACGACACATCTAAATCGAGGCGCACCTGCCTCCCGGCGGTCCACCGCCCGGCAGGCTGCCCAGGGATTCTGTCTGGTTGTGCAGGGGTGGGGGGGAGATGAACCGATGAAGCTCATCACTGCTGCCTGACGGGGCCTGGGAACCGGCTTAGAGTCTGTGTGAGCCCAGTGTTCCCGCCCTCTCCCTCCCCCCCCAGCCCCAGCTCTCGAGGAAGTCTCAGGCCTGTCCATCTACCGTCTAAAACTTCCTAAGTTTATCCCCAAGGCCTTAGCTTTCCCCATCCCTGAGACGCTTTGGGGGAGCATAAAGTTGAAATTCCTGCAACATGTACCCCCGTTTTTCTTGCTGGGTAAGACTCCACCACGGGCTGCCAGCCCCCCCTTAACTCCGTGGCTCTCAGACCCCACCCCGTCGTCACGGTCACGAGCACGCACAGATGGACTGGGTGATGCACATCCACGGGGTCTGCCTTCCACGCCTGAGGGCTTTTAATCCCGATGTCCAGCTCAGCGTTTCTCTCTCTTGCTCCTGGTCCATGTGGGAAAGGCTTGTTCTTTGCTTTGTTTAACCCTATCTGGTCCTGCGCCTGCTTCCTTCGTCCTTCAGAAACCTGCTTCCTTTTCTCCTCTCTCTTCTGGGTCAGACACACCCAGGAGAGTCTCCTGACCGAGGGAAGGGGGTTGCCCGGCTCGTCCTGGTCATATCTGCGGGGCATCGACCCTGAAACTGTCGCTGCTAAACGTGTGGACATGGAAGGTGTGTGCACAGTGCTCACCTGCCTGCAGGGAATGTGCTCACCAACAGTGTGGGTGTAAATGGAGAACTGAGGCGTATTTTTGTAGTTTTAGACGCTCAAATGCTGAGAGTTTCCGCAGAAGATTCCACTTCACCGTCACCAGTGAGAGGTTTGGTTTTCATTTCACAAACGGGAGGCTCAAGCCAAGGTGGTTCGACACCATGTCCCTGTCACCAGTGCCCAGGACTGTCGTGACCACACGTGCCTCTGCTTGTAAATGACTGTGACCGGGGAAGGCACAGCTGTGACCCTGTGCAGCCACCGCCTTTGTTTTGTGGCCTAAATCACGATGAATGTGCTCGTCTGAAGTGACGGGTTTCCGGACAAGAAGTGAGCAGCTGGAAGCGGACAGTGCCGGCAGCCCTTCCTCTCCGCTTGCCGCGTGCTGCTGCACCCACTGTAGGGCTGCCCGCCCCGCGGGCCCTCCGCGTCATTCTCTCGGGGCTGCAAGTGGCGGTCGCTAACTTCTTCCGCTCCTGCTGGGGGGGTTCCAGGTGTAGTGTTGCTGTGCCTCCAGGGCCTCTAACCCACGCCTCTTCACTGACTGTTTTGCAGCTTCGTCAGCAGCTGAAGTGGTTGATCTGCGAGCTCTGCCGATTGCACGACCTTCCCAAGCACCTGGATGTGGAGCTGCTGGATCAGCCGCTGCCCACGGGCCAGGTACGTAAGCTCCTCCCATCCCATCGGAGCCGGAGTCACGGCCTCATGGCCTCAGGGGAAGGAGCAGGACGCTTCCCTCACTGACTGTGCGGCTCATTGGGAGGTCGTTTCTGCTGTTGGATGTTTGTCTGCTTTGCTGGAGGCACCACACCTCTCCCTTTTGGAGCTGCTGGCATTCCCTGTGACAGACAGAACCGCCCGCCCGCGCTCACCTTCGTGGCTAGTGTCCCGGTTCCATACCTGCTCTTGCGTCCTTCGCCTGCAAGGCCGTCTGGCAGGCGCCCCCAGATGGCGTCTCCTCCACGCAGTGTCCTAGGAGCCATTAGGATGTGGGAATGTCTCTCCTGTGCCGAGAATTCTCGTGTTCTCTCCCGAGTCTGTGAGAGCCCCTCGCCCTGGAGCCTGTGGTTCTGCCCCGTCTCGCGGCGGCTCTCTGAGCTGGCAGTACAGCTGCCACCTTGAACTGCTCTGTCTGCTCTGCCCACGTGGTCTGTTGTTCGCTGACCTGGCACCTTTCTGGGCTCACCGTTCACATTTTACCCAAGTGCACCCTCAGGCACAGCCCCGGGGAGGACGGAAGGCTGGCACACTTCCGAGCTCTCCCTTCGCAGGGGGTGGCCGCACATCGGCTTCACTCTCGGTTCTGCTGCTCATTACCCATCACTGTGTGCAGCAACTTCCCATCCGAAATGGGGGGTAGAGGTGGTGCCTGTGTTTTGGGGGCTCTGAAGGTGACACGGGTGCCTGGGGTGTGCAGGAAATGCCCAATCAGTGAACGGCTTAGTCGGCCCTCAGGCTTGACTGGCGGTTCGGCCGAATGTGGAATTCGGGTGGGAAATAACTGTCCTTGGGTGTTGGGCTGCGCAGCCAGCGGCGCTGGGAGCCGGACGCCCTCTGAGCCTCACCCGTCTCCGCGGGAGCTCGAGGCCTGTCTCTTCCGAGGCATCAGCCGCGGGCGTAGTTAGATCTTCTCACTGTTCCTGCGCTCGGCACGGACGGGCCTTTCAAGTCGGACTCTGGCGTCTTCTCCGTGGGTGAATGTGTGTGTTTTTCCCTGTGGTTCCTCTTCTTCCATTGTCTTTCTTTGTTCGTTTGGAAATGCCTGCTCGTGGGATTGTAGACCTCTTTGCTTGAGTCTTTGTATTGTGGATGCTATGTCTCTATTCTCTCTCTCTGTCTTTTCATTTCAAATTCTAGGACATTTTCTTATCTTTCAGTGTTTAGCAATGTTATGAGGTCAGCCACCATGTTAAGTGTTGTTTTGGGTATTTACTGCTGCTGAACCAGTTACCCCGGACTTGATGGCCTAAAACAACTGACTCCATGCCTCGCGGTGGGTGGGTTGGCTGCACAGAGCTGCTGCTGGCCTGGCTGTGTGGTCAGACCGGGCTGGGCTGTGGCCCTGTGGACACACTGCCCAGGGGGTGTCCGCAAGGCTTCTCCCTTACGCCCGCTGCCTCGCCGTTTCCCCCCGGGCCCTGCTCTCCACGGGGCCCTGCTCTCCTCGGGCTCCTCTTCAGGAAGGCCATAGAATCCTTAGTGTTGTCTTCCAAGAGCACAAAAGTGGGAGCTGCCAGGCCTCTTAGAGGATTACATTGGGAACTGGCCCCGCGTCTTGTCCACCACGTTAGTGGTTCAAGTCAGAGGCCAGTGGATTGTGGGAGGGGGCGAGGGAGGGTGAGTGCTGGGACTGGGACTCACGGGGTCTCTCCAAAGGGGACCTGTGCATCTAAGATGATGATTCCCACTCACGGCGTTCGTTCTGTTTCTGGGCTTTACCCGTAGTTTCTGTGCAGGCGTCTCTGACACTCTAGTCCTCGCCCTCCCTAGCACCTCAGTTGTCTCTTTAAACTTATGGTTGAAAATAGTTTATTTCGGTCTTGTTCTTTTTGAAGACTTTTCTCAAGTATCCATCTAGTCTGTGCTGCTCATTCATGTATAGTTTGTCCTTCCTCTTTCCTCATTCATGTTTTAGAGAGATACTGAGGGTCGAGGGGAGTGCTTGCTGCTGACAGCTTGTAGGAGGAATTTAAGCTAATTCGTGGTTTAGGATAATTATTTAAATGAAGGAAGCCATTTATTTAAGTGTAAAACGTTTTTTAATTTTAAATAACAATGTCTCTAACTTCTTTAGAGTTGCTTTATATTTGATTAATTGCCTGTGTTATTCCTAATGCACCTGTTAACCTTGAATTGTTTAAAAATGTTTCTTTTAAAAAGCTGACAAGTGTTTGTCATCAGAGCTGGGTCAGTAGATGCTTCACTGTAATGAGTTCCCTGTGGGGTCCGTGCAGGAGAGTGGCCGCCGGGCCCGCCGCCTCCCGGATGCCCAGTGTGTGTGGCCGCGTGGCCTGCATGTTCCTCTTTCCTTGCAGAATGGGACCACGGAGGAAGTGACGTCAGAAGAGGAGGACGAGGAGGAGATGGCGGAGGTGGGTGTCTCCACTGGGGGATGTTTCAGCAATTTCTCTAGCCTCTTAATGGACCAGTGTTAGTGTGGAACAATGAAAAGCACATTGTTCTTGGAATTGAATGTAATTGACGGCTTTAGTTGAATATAAAATCTGGCTTTACCTCTAATGTATGCTTTTGAATAAATTGCTCCTCTTATGTCTCAGATCTGATTTTCTGGAAAATAAGGACTCTTAACATTTAGCACTAAAATTATGTTTACATTGAATAGTAATCACTACTTAACCTGTAGTTGTTTTAAATGTTTTTATTGATTTTTAGAGAGAGAGGAAGGGAGAGGAATAGAGAGATAGAAACATAGATGAGAGAGAAACATTGGTCAACTGCCTCCTGCACGGAGATCGAGCCCACAACCCGGACCAGTACCCTGGCTGGTAATCGAACCCCGACCTCCTGGTTCATAGGTTGAAGCTCAATCGCTGAGCCACACTGGCGGGGCTATAATTGGTTATTTTTGAGAACTGCTAAGTTTCAGAAGTTCTGTGTTTGAATAAAGAATTAGAGAGCAATTTCAGGGACTACTCATTAGAGATAATAAAACTACCTCATGTTGAAAAATCATCTGGGAATTTTGTAGAGCAGATTCCCAAGGCATTGAGCGGAGGCTGGTATAGTTGCCTGTCACCGATGCGATGTCAGCCGTGTCCAGGCTCTGAAGCTTTGCGTTTAAAGTCAAACTCCAGAGTGAAGCTCTGCGTGTCTACACTGATTGGATAAAAAGGTCTTTGGTTTCGTGGTCTTGGTTTTAAAACCTGTTTTGGTGTTGCATCTTAGAATTAATTGAATTATTACCTTATATTCTTGGTTTGGAAAACTTTAAATTTAAAATAGACTGCTTAGAGTGTCTGAGACTAAAGACCTAGTTGTGGGTTTGTTTTGTTTTGTGAGTCTGAGAGAAGATCATTCTTAACCTTGTCTAATTAGAATGAGACTTTTTTGATAGTTTGTCCTTAGTGTTTCATGCAAGTTAACTTGGGTGGAACAGTAACCCCCTGGGTCCTGTGCGGTGAGGCAGACATTGTCCTCAAAGAGCTTGTGTGCCTTCCTCTTCCCTCACAAGGTGACGTCAAGAAGGGACAGCACATCTAGGGAACCTGGAAAGGGGGGAACCGGCCGTGGAGGGTCAGGTTAGGGAGGAGGAGAAGGTATCCAGGCGATTGAGAGAAGGTGTTTAAAGGCCCCAACGGCCCTGGGCCTGGGCGTGTGTGGGGGCGCTGGATGCTGTCCTTTGGGGGAGAAAGACGGACTGATGCATGGAGTCAGGAAAAAGCCAGGTGATTGGCTAGAAAGGGCAGGTGGCCAAAAGCCTTGACTCTGAGTCAGACTGTTTCTGTTTGGTGCGATTGTTGATAGGAAGGCTTCACATGGAGAGTAGTGGGCTGGGTTGTTGCTTAACAAGGTGCTGATGGTGAGTTTGTTCTGTGCTGTTAGCACTCAAGTGGAGAAGACGTGTGGATGGGACTGTGGCCGAGGCTGAAGGTGGAGGAGACTCAGCTCAGGGCACTTGTGGGAGCTGACGACTGGTGTTCGGAGGAGCTCAGGGGCAGGGCCAGCCCAGGAAGGGCTCCGTGAGGCCTGTGCACGGACAGGACTGCATGAGAAGGGACTCGGTCGGGCCAAGGATGGGCGTGGTCACTCACCCGGTGTAGGTCACAGTGAACGAGTCTGCTTGGAGAATGGAGATAGTCGAGCTACCAGAACTAAGTACGAACACAGGATTCTTGAGGCCTGGATGCTAAGCTCTTCATATCTCTCCCTTCATAGGAGGTTGAAAAGATGGCTTATTTGATAATAGCTATTAAATATGCTTTACTCAGATTCTAGTTTTATAACAAAATACAAGCTATGGACAGGGAACCTTTTAATGGAATGTGAAGGCTTGTATGCCCCTTCCCGTAGAATACATGGATTCTCTCTCTTCTGCTCCCTCTCGAGTCAGGAATAGTGACACTTTGGCATACGCTTGAACACACTCATATGTTTCTAACGTCTGTAGGACATTGAAGACCTGGACCACTACGAGATGAAGGAGGAGGAGCCTATCAGCGGGAAGAAGTCAGAAGATGAAGGAATCGAAAAGGAAAACCTGGCGATATTAGAGAAAATCAGGAAGACTCAAAGGCAAGACCATCTAAATGTATGTGTAAAACCCTAGAACCTGGGCTTACGCGGCTAAGTAACGTCGTTGTAGGTGATAGCGTTCATTTAGGCGCCGCCCCAGCTGCCCTCTCCAGCCGCCTTGTGGCTCAGGCACGGGTTTAGTTCCCGTAGTGTTGTTATTGGTTGATTGACGTTTCTCAGCTGTTGATAGCCACTCTCACCCTGTCATCTGCCTTTCCCCTCTGCCCTCTTCTTACGGGCTCTGTGTTTTAATCCCGTCTCCTAACGGAGCAGCTCAGTCCTCCAGGAAGTGCTGCCCTGGCTGGACCAAACATAATGTTCTCTTTGCTGTCACGTCTCTGATGGTGTGACATGAACACTCTGGTGGCAGGCACACCTCATGGCTTCCGTTTCCTCGACTCTACAGTTCATGTGGGCGCTGTGGACCTTCTGGGTGATTGCTCTGAGGAAGAAATGAGAGTCCTGTCCATAAAAGGCCCAGGCAGAGCAGGAAAACATCAAGTGAGAGTCAGGTTTCTGTTTGAACGCCTCCTCCCTACTGCCTTGAATTCGAGCTACTTCTTAGCCCCATGAACCTGAGGGCCCCTGTGCTGTCTGGGGCAGTGTCTCGGACATGATGAGGTGGATTAACATGCGAGGAGATGCCAGCTGGTGTAAACGGGTGGATCGCTCTCCCTCCTTCAGCCTTACCTACGATGTCAGTTCAATCGGCAAATCTTTTTTAGAGCAATGAGATTAAGCCATTCTATGCCCTAACGAGGGATGCGTGTCATCATACATGTGTTTAAGGCATAGAGCATGCCACCCGATGGCCTGGAGGTCACGTGGGCTGTGGGAGGTTGCGAGGTCACGTGGGCTGAGGGATGTCGTGTGGGCTGTGGGAGGTCGCGTGGGCTGTGGGAGGTCGCGTGGGCTGTGGGAGGTCGCGTGGGTTGTGGGCGGTAGGAGGTGGTGTGGGCGGTGGGAGGTCGCGTGGGCTGTGGGCGGAGGGAGGTCGCGCGGGCGGTGGGAGGTCACGTGGGCGGAGGGAGGTCGCGTGGGCGGTGGGAGGTCACGTGGGCGGAGGGAGGTGGCGTGGGCTGTGGGTAATCCCTTACTGTAGGCTCATCAGTCGCAGGACATGTACCCTGGGGTGAGGGCAGCTGGTGATGAGGGAGACTGTGCTTGTGGGAAAAGTCTGTGTCTCTCTTTTAATTTTTCTGTGAATAAAAACTACTTTACAAAATAAATTCTTAAAAGACATGAAATGGAAAATGGGTGGGATTTGGAATAGACAGATGCAGGGGGACTTCCTTGCAGATGAGAAGGAACAGTGAGTGAGCCAGGCTTGTCCCCAGGTTTATGTCCTGTTGAAGCTTCATGATCTTGGATTTAATTTAATTAACTTTCTTGGCTGCTTAACGCGTTCAGTGGGGATCCCTTTTAACTGCCGTTGGAAACGTTCGTTTCGGCTCAGACACCAGGGTCTTCAGTTGTCGGACTGGAAGGTCCTGGTCAGCGTCTCTGTGTTCCAGGGCGCGGTGTCCGGGTCGGTGCAGGCCTCAGACAGGCTCATGAAGGAGCTCAGGGACATCTACCGCTCGCAGAGCTACAAGGCAGGTGAGCACACGCCTCCGGCTTGTCCGCGCCGGTTCAGGGTCCGAGAGTCAAGTTTGCTTCTCGTAACTGGACAGAACCAGAACTATGTACTGACTTCCTGTGAGGGGTGTGAAACGTAAATGTGACCAAGTTATCAAAAGATGTGGGTGAGATGGGGCGAGAGTACAGGACCCCCCACCCTTATCCAGGGTTTCAGTTACCCACAGTCAATGGGGGTCCGAAAATATTACATGGAAAATTCCAGAAGTAAACAATTCATAAGGGTTATTTATTGAGAGAGAGAAGCAAACATCAACTTGTTATGACACTTACTGATGCGTTCATGTGCCCTGACTGGGGCTCGAACCCACAGCCTTAGCACATCGGGCTGCCTTCAGCAGCTGAGGTACCGGCCAGGGCTGATCCATGAGCTTTACATTGCACACCGTTCTGAGCAGCGTGGCTAGAAGTTCATCTGTAGAAACCTATTAGCATACAGTTAAATATCTGAATAATGGCTTCTCTTTAAATGTTAAGTAACTTGTTCCCACAGCACTGTTCGTAGTAGCAAAAAATAAAAGCTAATCAGATAAAGGGTGGCATCGGTTAGATTATGCTGCGTCCATAAAATAAGTGACTGCGGAAACAGTATGAACATTGACAGTAGGTTTCTATATACCAAGTTGGAAAGATGCTCAGAAAGTTGACGAAAGGAGATGAAACTATACATGGGGGGGGGTCCCCCATTTTTATAGAAACGTTTGCGTGTGCGTGGGATTTTACAGGGTTTCTTCTCCCACTCACAGTTGATGGTGCATAGTTTCTCAGCTCGTTAGAGAAGCCTCTTCGTTAGCGCCTCTCACGATCTGGGAAGGGCGTGAGGTGCTCAGCTCTGGTGGCAGAAGTTACCATGTAGCTTTGTTCCTCTTTCAGTGGCACCATTTCTAGCTTTGGGGGGCTGTTCAGGGTCTACTTACACTAGAGTAATGGTTACACGATCAAATGAGGAGTAACTAACACACTGTGTCTTTGCAGGGTTTTACTCAGTGGAACTCATAAATGACAGTTTGTACGACTGGCATGTGAAGCTTCAGAAGTAAGTGACTTTTCCTGCCGGCCTCCGGTATTGGCTTAAGGGCAGCTGCCGCATGGAGATTTCCCTCCTCCATTTGAAACCATTAGAACGGCTTCTACTTGGGCTTTAGACCTGTTCCTGCAGTCGTTCTAGGGTGTTAAGATGAGCTGCTTCTTGGGCTTAGTGACAAGTAAGGTGAGGAAGGAAGGAGGAGGGGAGGGGGCGGCTGTGGGATAGTGTCTCCTGGAGGTGGGTGGACACAAGTGGATTGACTGACCGGCGAGGTTGGCTGTGGTAGCAGCTTGTCTTTGAAGGAAGGGTTTGTGTAAGACCTGAATATATAGGCCGTCATCACACAGGTTTAGATTTTGTCGGTGGTTTCATTTTTTCTGGTCTCGTCCATGGTGATGGACCTCCATGACCCCGTGTCTGATGGTGCAGTTTTAGGAAAGGAGATTGCATTTGTTTTGAGTCCTTGAGGAAATTATGTACATGACATGGCCATCTCCTCGGGAACGACTGCTAACCCTGAGTCACCAAAGGAGAATAGATTGAGAATATTGTGGTACGTTTTTTGTTGTTTTAATCCTCACCTGAGATATTGTTTCCACTAATTTTTCGAGAGAGTGGAAAGGAGGGAGGGAGGGAGAGGGGAAGAGAGAGAGAGAGAGGGAGAGAGGGAGACATTCACATGAGAGAAACACGTGGATTGGTGCCTCCCCTCTGAGCCTCGACCAGGGATCAAACCTGCAACCAGCTGCGTGCCTGTGGCTGGGAATGGAACCGGGACCTTCAGTGTTCGGCCGACGCTCTACACTGAACACCACCACCAGGGCTAGAATCCCGTGCTCACTCGCTCTCTCTCTCTTTTTTTTCTTTAAATATATGTTTATTGATTTCAGAGAGGAAGGGAGAGGGACAGAGAGAGAGAGAGAAACATCCGTGATGAGAGAATCATCGATTGGCTGCCTCCTGCACGCCCCCCAGCGGGAGCTGAGCCCGCAACCTGGGCCTGTGCCCCGACCCGGAATGCAACTCTGACCTCCTGGTTCATCGGTCGACGCTCAGCCACCGAGCACACCGGCCGGGCTGAGGCCTCTTTTTGAACTTTACTCCCCAGGAGTTGGGGTTGTAGGGTGTGTTTTTCCACAGAACAGCTGTCGCCCTCGTCTGCTTAGACGTGCCCTCGGGCTGCTGGTGAGTACAGAATCTGACTTTTTTGTGTGTTTTTTTAATTCTTAGGGTCGATCCTGATAGTCCTTTGCACAGCGATCTTCAGATCTTAAAAGAAAAAGAAGGCATAGAATATATTTTGCTTAACTTCTCTTTTAAGGTAAGAACATCGTGGCCGCACTCCGTGCGCTGCTCGTGGGAATGCGTGTTTGTACAATTGCTCTGGAAAACAGTTGGGATGTCTGGGAGCGGTGCCTGCGTTCGGGGATCCCGGGCGTGTGCCCTGCCCAGACGCGTGCTCGGTGCGCGGGGGCCTGTTGAGGGCGGCCCTGGGCACGGGGCCCCCACGGGAAGGTTTCCGTGAGCGAGCAGAGCGACGTCCCACAGATGGTGGCTCTTACAGAATGTGGAGCAAAAGGCCCCCCCCCCCCCCCCCCCCCCCCCCCGCACAGGTCATTCCTATGGAGCTCGAAATAGGTAAGACCAGCGACGTGTCGGCCATGCAACCTCGTGGAGGCATTCTCACCCTCCAGGGGGTGGAAATTGGTCCTCGGAGTGAAATAGTCTTAGAGATGACAGTGGTGGTTTTAAATCTTTTGTTTAAAAAAAATAGCACGTGTTTTTAAGGAGGGATGCCTGCCTGTTTTTCACGTTGAGAGGAAACGTTCACGCAGCAGCTGTCTTCCAGGTGTGTTCGTGTGAACACCTGAGATGCTCGGTGCGCGTGAGAACGGTGCCCTTCTCTTCCCTCCGTGGGGACCGAGTTTCCGTAGTTTATAGCTCCTCCCGGACCTACGTAAGGCCGGCGGAGGTGGGGGACGGAGGGAGTGCCTGGAATTGGGCTGCGTTCTCTCAGTGACACTGTGTTTCTGTTTGGGAACCGCTGGGTGAGACGAATGCTTGGGGAGTAGCTCCCTTCCCTCCGGTCGGTTCTCCAAGAGGTGTTGGTGGTTGCCTGTCCCCTTCTGTTTGGTCACAGGAGCTGCACAGCGTGGAGGTTTTCTCTTGGCCTCCCTGACCTTGCTCTTAGGGGTCAGTGCTGTTTCGCTTCAGCTGCAGCCCCTGGGGGAGCGCGTGTCGCTGTCTCCGGGCTCGGCTGGGTGTCTCCTCACCGACTCTGGTTCTGCCAGGGCTGGCCTGGTCTAATTGGAGCAGCTGGTCAGCGTGTCATGTTCTGGTCTCTGGGCTCGGATCCCCCTTCTCGGAGGTGCTTTCTGTCTGTGCTTCTCGCTCGGGCTCTGTTTCCTGTTCTTGTTTTTTTACGTTTATTCCCGTTCCCGCTCCCGTTCGCTCCTTCGCCGCCTGGCAGTGACCATGCGTGTCCTTAGCTCGTCGGAGGCGAACAGGCAGTTGTCGGTTCGGGTCCCCTTTCCGTGTCCGGCCCCGAGCGTGGCTGTGTCTGCGTGGTCTGACCGAGAGCTGCAGGTCGTGCTCGCAGCCGTGGTGCTCACTGAGGTCTGCGTGCACGTTGGCTTCTCGTGGCCTCGTTCTCCAGGTTCCCGTCTCCTCCCCGAGGACCGGCCTTTGCTGTCCCTTCCGGGGCCTCGGGAGGAAACATCTGCACTTGGACTGCATTTGGGGAGCGTTGTCACGCTTAGGGTTCCAGTCGGAAGCTCCTTCCTCCCAGCTCCGGGGGTGCCCTCTCCAAGGACGGGGAGTGCTCACATCTTGCGGAGCCCTTTCTCGTTTTGTAAAGTTTTCAGACGTTATCTCTTCAGACGCCGCTCTGTCCCCCCTCCTCTCTCCTGGGGCGCTCTGCAGATGGTCCATGACCCTGTGTCCCGTTTTCTGCCTTCTTATCTCTCTTGGCTTCATGGTGGATATTTTTAAGTCTATTTCCCAGTAACTGACTTTTTCTTCCATAAATCTTCACTGTGGCTGAACTCACCCGTGAAGTGATTAGTTTAAGTTGCTGCATTTCTAAGGTTCAGTGTTTCTGTGTAGTTTGTCTTTCTATTGCAGTTCTCTGCCAGGGTTTGTCTTTGCTTTGCTTGCAAATATGCAGCATCGTTACTTTAAAATCTGTGTCTGATAAATACTGAGTCCTGGCGTCTGTTGTTTGCTTCTCGCTCTCTAATCTTGTCGCCTCTGGGCCTCGGGTAACTTACCTGCAGCGACCACCTTACGTTCGACAGGCTGGGGAGCTGGCTGGAGCCCTGGTGCTGCTCTTCTCCAGCGCGGCCTCCAGCAGCCCAGGCCCTGCAGGCGTTTCGGGCTGAGATGACCAGAGCGGAGGCCCCTCCTTGTCAGCAGGGAGCTCGGCAGTTTGTCCTTGTGGGTCCCAGCTCCGCGGGTCCTAGCTCCGTGCGGGGCCAGGGAAGGCCTCCTGGGAACCCTGAGCCCCGGCTTCCCCTCCCGGCCCAGGGATGTCAGTCGGGCCTGCAGCGTCTTCCCCTCCGGCCTCCTCTGTGCGGTGGAAAGAAGCCCTGCTCTCTGGGGCCCTTTGTCTTCGTGGCCTGAGTACGCAGTGATTTACATTTTGTCCACCCTCTCGAGTTCCCAGTCAGAGGCTTGATCCAAACGACCGATCCTCTTACTGGACTGTTCCTTTATCCGGTTCTGTGGGAGGCGCGGCTCACAGTCACACCCTTCCCGCACACGGCTCTGTTGGGAGTGATCTCAGCCTTGTGTGGATTGTTTGGCTTTTATTCCGTTCTCTGTTGGTGCTATTTCCAATGTCAGGACCCTCACTCGCCATCAGGTAACCGGTGTCTCTGGACTGAAACCTTCTAAGCAATGTGGATGGAGGGTCTGCAAATCCGTTAACTGGCTCATTTGCTTTCAGGATAACTTCCCGTTTGACCCTCCGTTTGTCCGCGTGGTGTTGCCGGTTCTCTCCGGAGGGTAAGTGTCTGGCCTTTCTGTGACGTGGGCACTGGAGCTTCCGCGGCCGGACACCAGCTCGCCCGGGGCTTCTGGAGGCGCGGGGCCGGGGGCCTGAGAAGCGGCATTTCTCAGCCGGCTCAGGCGCAGCTCCTGCTGCTCGTCTGGGGACCACAGTTTGGGAACCACTGGTACCAACCACTGCGTGGTGCACGGGTAGAGCTTTTAATGGCCCCTGTTTGAAACCATTTCACCATTAAAAACCAGATGTTTTTAAAATATGAATTGTGATGGAGTGTCCAGAGAAAGTGAGATTAGAGAGTGAGTCCCACGTGCCTGTGGCCGCAGGAAGGAGGGCAGGCCTCTCGGGCCTGTGGGGCGGCCATCGGATGCCTTCTGGGGGTGGTTACGGCTGAAGAGCAGGTGGTAGTTGTTAGGCGCCTTCATCCAGGCTGGGAGGGGGTGAGTGTGTGCGGGGTTAGGGGTGAGGTGCCTGCAGAACCTCTGAGTAGGAGCGGCTGAACTGCTTGGAGAATTCTGAACTGGCCGACCAGTTCCACCTGTGAGAGGATCCATTGATGATTTAAGTCTAAAAGTACGCAGTCCTTACTTCGATCACATCTATGGTTGATCTCGTTCCATTGAGATTAAAAAATAAGGGCAGCTATAAACGATTAAGGAAAAGATTTGGAAAAATTCTGTACGTTTAGGATAAATGTACAAAAATATTTTTATCGGGTCGTTTTGAAAGTTGATACGAACTTGACCGGCATAGATTTTTCACATTTTTGTTGTGAGAAATGCCAAGAATGTTAAGAACTTAGGATCGTAAACAGTTTACCACCTGGTTGTGGAGACAGACACACAGTTAGGAACCCAGCTGTCCCTCAGGTCTCGGCAGACACAACCACCGACTCCATGGGCCTCGCTGCCCAGTGCACAGCAGCCATGATGGAGCTGTTTGAACAAAGACTGACTGTGATGCCATTTTCAGTTTTAAGATCTTTGACATAGTTTCTCTTTACTGATTCTGTTTTCCACAATGGGGCTATTGTCCCGTTCTTCAAATGAATATTGTCAGGTTCCTCACTTTGTAAAGTCATTTGGTTTATTCAACCTCGGATGCTTTTGGTTGGCTGGAATCACAAGCCCAGGCCGGATGGTCTCGGCCAAGCTTACCGGGGAGGACGGCCTGGCGCTGGGCAGAGGCGCAGGAGAAGGAGCCGCGGGGACGGAAAGGCCGGCCCGGAGGACGAAGCAGTCGCGTGGACTGAGTCCTCACACAGACCTGCTCAGGGTCTTACCTACTGGTTTCCAAGATTCCTACAGTTTTTCTTGTCTGAGATCATTCCCTTGACAGTTCACGTATTTTTGAGTTTAAAGTAACATTAAAGGAGGAATGACGGTCTTTTGTTTGAGGAAGCGTCAAAAGGCAGAAGAATCTCGATCTGCACTTGATCTTGGCGAAAGGCGGGGGCCGGTGAAGGGTCTTGATCTGAAGGTCTTTCCTGTGGAGCCTGGGCAGCCCCAGGGTCATCTGCTCAGAGAGCAGCTCAGAGCCAGGGGGGGAGCAGGGGGCACAGAGCAGCACCATTCGACCCTCAGAGCACGATGGGTGGAGACGGTTAGACCGTGACCGCAGGTGCTCAGGGTCACAGATACGGTGGAGCGTGACGTGTGCTCGGGGGAAAGCCTCGCTGTCCAGCGTGGCGGCGGAGAAATTGCCCACGATGCCTCCTAGGAGGGGGTCTCCATCGCCTCCCGCCCCGCCCCTGGGTACGGAGGCCTGAGTCCTGCTTTCTGGTAGCTGAGGCGTCTGTGGGGTCCTGTTACCCAGACCCGCTCTGACTCTAAGTGGGGCTGCCGCGGGCTGGCGCTGGGAGTGTGCATCACCCACCGTCCTGGCACCCGGCAGCTGTGTTTGCTCCCGCCTGTCTCCTAGTCTTCACATGTTGCGTGCTTTCTCAGTGACGCACGTCACACCTAGGAAGGAACGGGAACCTGGAGAATGGTGTGTGACTCCTCTTTTCTTTTAAGGTACGTGTTGGGTGGCGGCGCGTTGTGTATGGAGCTTCTCACAAAACAGGTGACTGTTTTTCTTTTCTTTTTTGTTAACCCTCACCCGAGGATATTTTTTCCATTGATTTTTAGAGAGTGGAAGGGAGTGAGGGGAGGAGGGAGGGAGGGAGGGAGAGAGAGACAGACAGACAGACATGTTGATTGGTTGCCTCCTGCACACACCCTGATCTGGGCCGGGGATGGAGCCTGCAGCCCAGGCCTGTGTCCTTGACCAGGAATTGAACCCGAAACCCTCCAGTGTGAGGACCGAGGCTCTAGCCCTGAGCCACTGGCCAGTGCGGCTCTTTTCTTAAAGTGCTCGTGGCTTCACCCTCCACACGGGTTCGATTATGTAAATTAGACTGAGTGGAAAGGCTCTACTTTAAGGTTTTAAAGTTCTTTCTTTTAATAGCAGCCACTTTCAATAGTGAAAAAGCTATGCGTCATAAACCAGTAAAATGACATTGCACTGGGTTGTCTTATCTGTGCTAGGATAGGAAGTGAGTTATATTTAAGGTTATAATTTGCTCATGTTGGGCATTTAAAACAGGTTTTTTTTTCGTGTGTGTGAGATTTTAGAAATGATTCAACTTTTCTTTCTTTTTTTAAAATATGTTTTTATTGATTTTTAGAGAGGAAGGGAGAGAGAGAGAGAGAGAGAGAGAGAGAGAGAGAGAGAGAGAGAAGCATCCATGATGAGAGAGAATCATGGATCGGCTGCCTCCTGCACGCCCCGCACTGAGGATTGAGCCCCTAACCTGGGCTTGTGCCCTGATTAGGAATTGAACCTGGGACCCTTCAGTCCGCAGGCCGGCGCTCTATCCACGGAGCCACACGGGCCAGGGCTGAGCTTTTCTTTCGCTTCATAAGCACAAACATCTCAGTGCTCATCTGCGGTTGCTGAGTGTTGCTGGCTGCCGTCGGCTTTCCCACGCGTTCAGAGCAGCTTTCCTCCCGCAGGGCTGGAGCAGCGCCTACTCCATCGAGTCCGTCATCATGCAGATCAACGCCACCCTCGTCAAAGGCAAAGCCAGGGTGCAGTTCGGAGCAAATAAGGTACTTTTCTCAGTGACGTCATGTGCAGACAGGAAGTGAGTTATATTTAAGGTTATAATTTGCTCATGTTGGGCATGTAAAACAGGTTTTTTTTCCTGTGTGTGTGAGATTTTAGAAATGATTCAACTTTCTTTCTTTTAAAATGTATCTTTATTCATTTTTAGAGAAGACGGTGTCCACCGCTTCCCCGTCTTCCGCGGCGTCTCCTGTTCCTTTTCTTTGTCATTTTTAGATAAACATGCCTGGCTTTATTTGTTATTGGTACTTTGTTATATGCACTTTCCCCAAAGCGAGATCCTGCTGTAATAGTTAATTCCCAGCGAGCATTTACGTGCTACGCTCTGATCTAGACGTTGTGTGTGTTGACCCTTTCATCCTCCTCATGACCGACGAGCAGGTTCACTCTCTTGTCCCCATCGTGTGGGTGAGGAGCTTGAAGTGCCCAGAGGCAGGTACCTCGTCTCAGGTGATGGGGGCGGAGCCAGGACGGGAGCCAGACAGTCGGCCGTCAGTCGCTGCTTTTAACCACTGAGTTCTGTTCTTTGTCACTGACTATCAGAATCATCTTTCCATGGCCGGTTGAGTTACTGTAAACGCAGGCACGGGCCAAGGATGGACTCTGGAGTCAGTGTGTATGGGGAAATATTTGTGTGATGGAAATCAGCCCGGCCTGGCATTTGTTAAACACTCAGCTGTTCCTGAAGGTCTGTGTGAACTGTGTGTTCAGCGCCGGCAGCATTAAACCTGAACGTGTGTTTATAACCGTAGCACAGGCCCATCACGCGTCCACTGGAACCCTAACTCAGAGGAAGCAAAACATTGCAAAGGCTATTTTTAAAAAACCATTTATTTGGGATAATATTATAAAATAACTCATTTTTACTTTTAGCTCTTTTATCAGCTATTTCTTTACACTGGAACAAAATACCATTTTGATACCATTTTGTATAAAACCTAGAAGTTATTTATTGAACACCAATGAATTGCTTAACTACTTTTAGCTAGTTTTTTTTTTAACAGTGTTTATATTTCAGATGCTTTAAATGTACCAACAGAATAAGTATATAATACCAAAATTTCATTTTTCTAATGACAAGATTGATGCTCACTGTATAGTGTCTAAAGTAGGACACATGCAAAAACCTAAAACGTCCTCTGTAAGTTGACTGTCTAGAAATACTGTTGGTATTTCCTTACAGAGAAAATACAGAGGGCTTAGAGCAGTGATCTTTCTGAGTGACTGAAAGAACATCTCACCAATAACCCGCCATGTAAGCTCAGCTCTCTGGGCTTCTGTATTTTGATGTGAAATACGACTGTTTGGATGGTTTAAGCCTCTCCCAGCTTTTAACCCTACAAATCCAGTATTCTGTCTTTGTTTAGTGCTATGGTCCTGGAACCAGTCAATGTCAATGTAATTGCTTTACACTTTTACATTTCCATGGTTTATAGTTTTGTTAGCAAATAAATAAAACCATTTTGCATAGAATGGTATCAGGCAGCTAAGAAATGTTTGCATATTAAAGTCTTTCTTGGCAGGTAAATTTTTTAAATGAATTGTTATGATGAAACATTACTCTTCCATTTTTTTTCTTGAGAAACGTTTGCCAGTTAAGAATATGGAAACTTGATGATATAAGTTTTACCTTCCAGGATTCTAAAGTCAGCAGGGAATAGTCTGTTCGCTTTAAAAATGCTGCTATCCAAAAAGTAAGGTGCTACATGGCATTTAAAAATATGCTGTCGTGTGTGTGTGTGTGTGTGTGTGTGTGTGTGTGAGTGTGAGAGAGAGAGAGGGGGGGGGGGCTATGGTATATAGAGAATATAGTATATAGAGAATGTAGTATATAGAGAGTATATAGAGTGTTCAGGAAAGTGCTGACAGGTGTTGAAATATTGGGGTGGGCTGGCTAGAGATGGGAGGGAGACTATATTTACTATATTTATAAATGAATTCATAAACCAAGTAAGAATATTTTTAAAGCTAACTGGTGCCATACAGATCATATATGTTAAATATGCTGCAACTAAGGTTAGAAGAGAGTAATGAAAAGACAAACACCCATCTACGTAAATCTGGGAATTAAACACACTCTAAATCATGGTTTTTAAAAAGTCACACGAAAATTTAAAAGTACGTGGACCTGAACTCTCCCCACCCCGCTTCCTCCCTGTCTCCTCCCCCACCCCCACCCCCCCCCTCCTCACCCCACCCCCTCCTCACCCCACCTCCACCCCAAATGGATCGGCAGGAAGGAGAGTCTCACGTTTTTATACGTTATTTTGTTTGGTGCCACTCACGGGCATTCTTTAGACTTTAAAGTCCGAATGTCACTTACGTGTGTGGTCCTTAAAGCCCAGTGTTTCCTTGTCTGAAGGTAATAGTTGAGCATTTGTTTTGGATACAGTTTAGGAGGAAAAGAGCTTGGGTTCCCCCTGGGTCCGTAGCCGCCAGTGACTCGCTTCACCCTGTGGCGGGACTTACACGTGAACTGCGAGGCGTGTCCGTTCCTGTTGGACCACAACTGGACTTGTTATTCTCAAATGTTAAGGGATCATGAACTTGAGCAAGGAGGGTCTTCAGTTAAAAACTGTTTTGAAATGGAAATATAATGGGTTCCCGTGTTCTTTTAAGCACAGTGTGACACATCCTTAAATTATTTGCCATGATTTTCATCTGCTTAGAGTTTTGATTTAAAATGTATATTTCTCTTTCAGAATCAATATAATCTAGCAAGAGCCCAGCAGTCTTATAATTCCATTGTACAGATACACGAGAAAAACGGTATGTTCAGTTCCATATGTATTTATTGCCATTTGTTTTGCATCATGTACTGCTGATATTTATCCTGTTTTATTGTTGGTTTTGCTTTAGTATCTTGTCAAGTACAGTCATCCCTGAGAAAACTCCACTTGGGGACCCACACCCTGTGCTTCCTTCGAAGTCGTGGTTACAGTACTTGGCCCGAGAGCCTCTGAGTCAGAGTCAGGATCCCTGAGTAGATCCCTGAGTAGATCCCTGAGCAGAAGGGTCCTCTGGTTCCTCTGACATGTGTGGAGTCAGGGCAGGAGCTCAGTGTCTACCTGTGGCGGGGCCAGGGCCAGCGCAGGTGCTTTAACGGCGATGAATCAGCAGGACCGGGGCCACCCCTCCCGGTGGTGGGTGCTCCTCGCCGATCCTGCGCGCTTGTCACTCACGCTAATTCTGATATCGAGGATATTTCATAAGCTTCACTGACCTCACCTAAACTTGCTGTATTCTCCACGCATGTTTGCGTCTTGTCTCTAACTGAGGGAATAGAGCTGACTTGGAATCAGACCTGTTTTCCGTGCCATTTCTGTCACTCGCTGGCTCTGCGGCCTTGAACAGTCCTGTGCCCTCTGCCTCAGTCTCCTCGTCTCAAATTGGCACGAGGTCTGTCTTCCAAACTTGAGAGGAAAAAAGGGCAGTGTGTGCGCGCGGCCTTCGTAGCTCAGGGCTGGGGAGATCGTCGTCGCAGTCGTGCTGGTGGACAGGTGCGCTCTGTGTGCAGAGGAGCTAGGGAAAAGAAACGCCAAGTCGTCTTCCTTTAGGAGATTGACAATAACTCTTCTCTGCTTTGCTGGACCTGTGCCAGCTTGTGGCCTGGGAGCTGTGTTTTGTGCTCACTGTCATTTTAGTGACAACGGGAACTTGTCACTTGCGTTGACGGTTTGATTCTGAGAGGCTAGCACGGGCCTGCGCGGAGGTACTGGGTCTGGGCGCAGACCAGGCCGAGGGGAGCCCACAGGACAGCGGCCTGATGCTCCCTCTGGTGGGGGGTCGCCTTCGGGGTGTAGAGAAGCAAACCTGTGAGGCATGAAGCGAGGTTTCCTGTATCCAAACCCTGTTCAGGTTCTGAAGCGGGAAAGGCTCAAGCTTGGCAAGTCTGGGCTCCCTGACCGTCCTCTCCAGCCCCGAGTCAGGGGTGTGGGCTGTGAGGGCAGGACCAGGAGGCGCCTCTGTCTGGCTCCTGCTGGGGGTCTCGGGTCCCGTCGCTGGGTCCCTGCCCATGGCTTCCTGGCTGCTGGTCGCAGCGTCTCCGCCTCCGGCCACAGCCCGTGCTCTGGCTCTGGCGCCAGGACTTGGTTGGGGAGAGTGTTCTCAGGGAGGGTTACTGTTAACCACGGAGTCTGAGTGGAATACGAAACCTAGCTTTAGTCCAATATTCCACACTTATTCAGCAAAAGCCAGTAATTGGAGATCAGATGTTGAAAGCTCATGTAGTTTATTCATAGAAAATGACTCTATACAGACGGTCTCCAGCTGACACTGGTTGGACTCAGGAGTTTTGACTTCATGAGGGTGTGGCAGTGATACGATTCAGAGGAACCATATTTTGGATTTGAATCCGGATCTTTCCGGGGCAGCGGTGAACGTGGTATGATGGTCTCGAGATGCCGGACAGCGGCCTGGAGCCACAGCTCCCGCCGGGCAGGGACCGCGAGTCGCCCGGTGCTGCTCGTGTGCTCCCGGGTGAGCGCGCGCTGCCCACTGTGGGCTCAGGCACGCATCGGCGGGCAGGGACCCTCTGGCAATCGAGCGTCTGTATGTAAACGTGGAAGTGCTGTTACCAGCCCGTGTGAGTTTAACTTTGCAATAGGTTTAACCATGAAAAGGACGAGTCGAGGACGTAGCCAACCGTAATAACATGTCCGTTTCAGAACTAAAGTGTCTCCCCCACCTGTTTCAGGCTGGTACACCCCTCCGAAGGAAGACGGCTAAGTGGATGGACTGTCCCAGGCTCGGACCAACGTTGCTTTAAAGAAACCTTCCCACCGTGCAGACCAGCTTCGAGTGCCCATAACAGCAGCCCCGACGACGTTAGCTGATAGACACTTTAGTGGATACTCTGTCACCTGACATCCTGCATAAGTTACAGCCTCTCATTTGCTCATTGTAGGTATCTTGGACTCAGCAGGGGGGCCTTTCCTGTATTTTTCTTGATAAATACACACACTGGCCACTCCTTATCATCTCTTTTTCTTGAAAAATGAAATCTGTTAAGCAGGCAAGTCAGCACCCGGTTCCTGGAGTTGCCGCTGTAGGTGCCGTCTCCCTCTGAGCTCGCGCGCTGCGAGGACTCGCAGTGTGTGGTCCCCTCAGAGCCGATAGAGGTGATTGGGGTTCCTGTCGGTTTAGGAAGTTCAAGGTCTTCTCGGTCACCGTAGCCTTTTCCGGTTGCCAAAAGAACGGCAGAAAGCAGGCTCCAGGAATTGTCACACTTTTTATGGCCTCTCTGGGGCCATTTCCCGCAGACATGCCCTTAACCGGATTGCAAGGTGGGGCCCCGCAAGCACGTCAGCTGTCGTAGTGATTCCACTGGGCATCAGTCTTGCTGGCTGAAGCTGTTACTGGTTCAATATGTCTTATGAAGATCTGCAGTCTAGATCTTGAAGTTATTTAAAATACTAAGTCATTTTACATTTCCATTTTATTAACGGGATGTTGCAATCGTTTGTAAACTAATAAGCTTATAAAGTGATTGGCACACAGACAGACTCCTTGAGCAAAAGCTGCACAGCTAAGGACACACAGATCCCTCATTTGGAGACCTAAAATTTTTGCTACAGTCATAACAATGGCTTTTACTTAAAGACTAATAGGAACTCTACACATATTAATTCTTTTATAAAACCTGACTCAAATCAGTACCCTCTCCATTCTCTTGCCTTACCTGAATCAGTCCTGTTTGATTGGAAGTAGATTTTTATATACCCATGTTTGATTTAAAAGTAAGGTCTAGTTATTAAGCACTTTTAAAATGAAATCCAGAAGCACATTTTCTGCACAAATCACTTACAAAGTTCAAAAGTGTTTCTTAGGCACCTGCTCTGAGAGTCAGTTTTCAACTTTGTAAGCCGCCTGGGAGAGAGACCCGCACGGCTGCAGGCCCGCAGCGTGCGGGGCCGTGGGAGAGGCTGTCCTGGGTTTGCTCACGTGGCTACACTTGTGCTCAGTTCTGATACAGTGGCTCAGACAAGCGACAAGGCAGAATTCTTTAAAGCATTACAGTTCCTTAAACCTAAGGCTGGATCTTGAATACATTATTGAATTCTTTAATATCCTGATGGCTAGCAGGTTGACAGCTGCACATTTGGCATGCTTTGTTTTTATTTGGAGTTTATTTTTCATTGCAGATTTATTTGGCAATGTACAGTAAATTTTGTAAACTTGCATCAAGTTTATGAATAAAGAATCATTTAAGAAATAACGCTGTCCTTTACCCTCATTAGAGGTGCCCTTTGCTCAGGGGTCCGGAGTTCTGTGGAGTCTGGAGCAGGAGAAACGCTGGGAGGGCAGGTTGGTTAGATGAGAGCGACAGACCAGGACGGTGTGTGCCGGCCGATGTGGCCGCCCAGGTCTCCCTCAATCTTCGCTCCCCCACACTCGTTCCTCAGTAGAAACGTCTGGTGGCTGCCCCTAGTTCCCCCTGTCAGTCATCCGCTCCCCCTCGAGGGTCCCCGGGGCGGCCACACACGAGGTCAAGTTCGCACAACAGGAAGCCCAGCGCAGGAGCAGCTCCTCTGGGCTCGGCCGGAGGCTCTGAGGTTTGTTGTGTTGGTTTCACCTCGGATGGAAGCTGTGGATGGATGCGGTCCTGCTCCCTCCTCCCAGGCAGAGTCCTGTCTCTGGGGCTCCTGGGGGGTCTTCAGGCGACCCCTCCCCCTTCCCCTGCCCCCGCCCAGCGCCCTCCGCCTTCCTGTCCCAAACCAGTGTCTGGATCTCCTTGGACCCGTTCTCAGTATGTCATTTGGGGAACCCTGGAGACCCCGCGAGGCCCTTTTAGGAGGCGTTGAAGGTCAAAAATGATTTTCCTGATAAAACATCATTTGCCCTTTTAAGTCTCGCTCTCTCTCAAGCGCACACAGGAGTTTTCCGGGGGCCACAGCCCGAGTTTCCGGGCCAATCCAGTGCCTTCTCTTAAGCCAGACAGAGGTTTTCACTACCGGGGGGTGGGAGGGCGGGCGTTCTTTTTTTCATAAAAATGTTCTCTGTTAATGTGAAGTGGATTTGTTACTTTAATATTACAGTGTTTTAATATGGCCAATATCAACAGGCATACCCCACACGAACAGGTGCGGAGGAGCCCTGCCCTGGCGGGTGTGGCTCAGTGGGCAGAGCGTGGGCCCAGGGAGGAAGGGTCCGGGTTCCATTCCGGTCAAGGGCACCGCCTCTGTTGTGTGCGCTGCTGGCGGGAGGCAACCCATCTGTGCATCTCTCTCGTCTCTTCCCCTCCCTCCCACTCTCTAAGTCAATGGACACATACCCTAGGGGGAGGATTAATAGCAGCAGCAAAGGAGCGCGTGGGAGTCCCGAGGCCAGGAAGTTTGAAACACACTAGTGAGACCAGTTACTGGGGAGGAGCCGGGGCTGGGCCAGCCGGGCAGCGGCGGGAGTAGAGGTGGGGGGCGGGGGGCGGGGGACAGGCAGCTGCACCTGCTGTGCTCGCTTTCCCTGCGCCGCTGGTTGCATCGGAATCAGCCGCTCCAGTCCCATGCAACAGGCCCGCTGAGCACGAGGTCCGCGGTGCAGGTGGGGGATCGCGGTGCAGGTGGGGGATCGCGGTGCAGGTGGGGGGATCCCGGTGCAGGTGGGGGGATCCCGGTGCAGGTGGGGGGATCGCGGTGCAGGTGGGGGGATCGCGGTGCAGGGGGGGGACCGCGGTGCAGGTGGGGGACAGCGGTGCAGGTGGGGGGATCGCGGTGCAGGTGGGGGGATCGCGGTGCAGGTGGGGGGATCCCGGTGCAGGTGGGGGGATCGCGGTGCAGGTGGGGGGATCCCGGTGCAGGTGGGGGGATCCCGGTGCAGGTGGGGGGATCGCGGTGCAGGTGGGGGGATCGCGGTGCAGGTGGGGGACCGCGGTGCAGGTGGGGGACAGCGGTGCAGGTGGGGGGATCCCGGTGCAGGTGGGGGGATCCCGGTGCAGGTGGGGGGGTCCCGGTGCAGGTGGGGGGATCGCGGTGCAGGTGGGGGGTAGCGGTGCAGGTAGGTGATCCCGGTGCAGGTGGGGGGATCGCGGTGCAGGTGGGGGGATCGCGGTGCAGGTGGGGGACCGCGGTGCAGGTGGGGGACAGCGGTGCAGGTGGGGGATCGCGGTGCAGGCGGGGACCGCGGTGCAGCGCCCGTTGCCACGCACGAGGGCGGCTTCTAAAGCAGACACCGCCCGTGGGAAAGCTGAGCTTGTGGTGCCAACAGGCTCTGGGCTGAGGACGAGCCAGACTCTGCCTCCGGGGACGCTGGGGTCGAGGGCGGCGGAGGCCTTGCTGTGCCTGCGGGACTGACAGCTCGAAGGCTAGTTCTCACCGACCCGGCGGAAGTCCGCTGCCGGAAGTCCCGCCCCATCCGGAAGTGGCGCGCGCCTGCGCAGTGTGCACCGGCCGGAGCAGGAGCCGGAGCTGGAGCTGGTGCAGCTTCCTGACTCCTCGGCGCAGCGGTCCCGCCGCGGGAAACTGCGGGGCGGGATGGAGCCGGCGGGCGGCGGCGGCGGCGGTTTCCCCGCGGACCCCCCGGGCGCCTTCGTGCTGAGCAACCTGGCGGAGGTGGTGGAGCGGGTGCTCTCCTTCCTGCCCGCCCGGGCGCTGCTGCGGGTGGCCGGGTGAGCGGCGGGGCGGCGGGCGGGTCCGGGCGGGGCGGGGCGGGGCGGGGGCGGGAAGGACGCCCGCTCAGCTCACCGCCTTTGTGGTCGCGCCCGCAGCGTGAGCCGCCTGTGGAGGGAGAGCGTGCGCCGGGTGCTGCGAGCCCAGCGCGGGGTGGCCTGGATCTCGGCGGGCCCGGCGGACGCTGGCCCCCCGCAGGAGCACTGCCTGGTCCGCGCGGCGGCCGCGGAGCTGCAGGCAAGTGGGGGCGCGGGGGGCGGGGCGGTGCACGGGCCGGTGCATTGGGAGGGGGTGCGGGGGGCGGGGTGTTGCACGGGCGGTGCGGGTGCTGGTCCGGCCGGTCTGTGAGCGCGAACTCTGGTTGTGCCCCCGTTTCCCTCACGGGGTTGTTTTTAGAGTTTGGGGATCGTTTGCTCGTGGCCTGGGAACATTCTGGACCCTCAGGCTTAGTGGCCGCACCTCCCGAAGGAGGTGCCGCGGTTGCGCTGGACCCGCCCGCACCCGGAGCTTTCCTGCGAGGCGCGCGCGGCGCGGACCCCTCCTGCCCGGCCTCCCTCCCCGGGAGCGAGTGTCGCTGTCACCGTTTGTGCAGAAAAGGCGGCGTGAACACAGCCAAGAGCTGGCCCGAAACCCAAATATTTCCTTAAGCCCCGACCCCGCGTCCTCTCTGGTGTGTTTCTGGGACCCGGTTTCAGCTGATGGGCAACGGCTGGGAGCCCGAGGCCGCCTCTGAGCGCAGGTGGCGGAGGCTGCGCGCTCGGGGAGGGGAGGAGCCGTCGGGGGTGATTGCTCCGGCCCCCCTGGTTCTTGGGTGCGTGTTACCCGCAAACCCGGACGCAGCGCGACCACCGTCAGGGTCAGGGTCAGGGTGTGCGGCTCACACCTTCCTACCGCCTCACCCTCGTCTTCCGTTTCCCCTTTTGCCACTTGTCCTGGGGACGGCCGTCAAAGCCAAAGAATTCAGTTTATAGAGTTTTATGTTGCATTTATTTGTCCTGATTCTTTTTAAAAATATATATGTTTTTAAATTAACTTCAGGGAGGAAAGGAGAGGGAGTGAGAGAGAGAGAAACATCAGTGATGAGGGAGAATCATGGATCGGCTGCCTCCTGCACGCCCCACACTGGGGATGGAGCCGCAACCCGGGAATCGAACCCTGACCTCCTGGTTCCTAGGTCGGTGCTCAGCCACGGAGCCACGCTGGCCGGGCTTGTCCTGATTTTTGATTCTTTGTCCTGGAGCCTTTTCTCCAGGCTTTTCCTGGACTCTCACAGCTCGGGCACACGTGTACATGGTGGGCGGGTTTTGCTATAAGCTTCCGATGTTGCTTAGGTTGACACTGTATTGTTGGCTGATGCTGTGCTGTCATCATTGCTGAGGTTACCTTTGATTTTTTTTTTTATGTATATTTTATTGATTTTTCACAGAGAGGAAGGGAGAGAGATAGAAAGTTAGAAACATCGATGAGAGAGAAACATCGATCAGCTGCCTCCTGCACACCCCCCACTGGGGATGTGCCCGCAACCCAGGTACATGCCCTTGACCGGAATCGAACCCGGGACCCTTCAGTCCGCAGGCCGATGCTCTATCCACTGAGCCAAACCGGTTTTGGCACCTTTGATTTTTTTATCATTATTATTTTTTTTAGTAACATGGTGTCAGCCAGATGTTGCTTCTATAAACTTAACTCTTTCCACTGCAACGAGTGTTTGGTGGGGAGATACTTTGAACCTGTATGTTTATATCTTGTTTCAAAGTGTTCATTTATTTAGGTCTGTATAGACTCTTCGTCCCTTTTATTCAGTGGCACTTGGGGGAGCCCTGGCCGGTGTGGCTCAGTGCATAGAGCGTCGGCCTGCAGACTGAAAGGTCCCGGGTTCGATTCCGGTCAAGGGCACACACCTGGGTTGCAGGCTCGATTCCCAGTATGGGGCGTGCGGGAGGCAGCCGATGAATGATCAGCTCTCATCATTGATGTTTCTCGCCCTCGCCCTCGCCCTTGCCCTCTCCGTCTCTGAAATCAATAAAGATGTATTTAACAATAATAACGAACTATCTCTTGGGGGAAACAGTCTTAAATCAAGTGGGAAAGGAAGCGAGCTGCAGAGAATATACAAGGCCGTGTGTGTGTCGGGAGATGGTACGCACACTGGTCGCTCTGGTGGAAGTGAGGCCTGGAGCATTTAATGGGATAAGAGTGTGATGCAGGCGAGCCTTCCCTCTTGCCGAGCAGCTTCTGTTCCTGCAGTGCCTGCTCAGATAGAGCAAGTGGCCTTTGGTTTCTTTTGTTTGTGTTTTTGCTGGTATTTAATGTTTTCGTTTAAGAGCTTAAATCACCGTGAAAATGAACGTCTTGAGCAAGTCGGGGATGAGTCTGCCTGGAAGAAACAATCGATGTTTCACAAATGACTGAGCTGAAGATGCGAGCGCATGAGTGAAAAAATGAATGAGAAGTGGAGGGACTCAGAATGCCAGCACTGACCGGAGGGGGGAGGGGGTGGGGGGGACGAGGCGGGGCAGCCAGGGGTGAGACTTTAACCCCAGAAGCACTCTCGGGTTCCTGAGCTCTAATCCCAGTTAATTTCCTCTCTGCAGAACGTCCACATCTTGCCGCAGACCGTCCTGTACATGGCCGATTCGGACACGTTCATCAGCCTGGAGGAGTGCCGGGGTCACAAGCGAGGTGGGTGTTTCTGTTTCCTCCCGTGTGCTCTGTTTGTGAAGTATAGTGACTCCATCTGGGGTAAAAACTGCTGTTTAAATTTTTTTTATTTTTTATTGATTTTTATGGAGAGGAAGGGAGAGAGAGAGTTAGAAACATTGATAAGAGAGAAACATCGATCCGCTGCCCCCTGCACACCTCCTACTGGGGATGTGCCCGCAACCCAGGTACATGCCCTTGACCGGAATTGAACCCGGGACCCCTCAGTCCGCAGGCCGACGCTCCATCCACTGAGCCAAAGCGGTTTCGGCAAAAACTGCCGTTTAAAATGTTAACCCTGCTATTCTGGCTTCTGAAAACATTTTCTTGCTTAAATAACAAGGAAAATAAGACGACTTCCCCACTCCGGAGAGGCCATAAACCCTGCCCCAGACAGAGCTGTCAGTGCTGACGCCGGGCCAGGCCTTGAGAGACGGTCTCACGGCCCTGTCTCAGCAAACACGACTTGTTCTCAAGAAGGTCCGGAGCTCTCATTCCAAATTTGGAAAACAAAGAGCTGGAAAACGTATAAATTGGGAAGATTTCCACCATATTGGGCGCCAGAATCTGAGAGGCAAGAGTTCCCCTGGGCCCGCTAGCGCTAGCGAAAACGAACAGGACTCCCAATAAATTTGGCTTATTGATCAAGGCGTCTTCTGATTTACAGAATAACATCTGCAGTTCGTTGTTGTCTCTGCCCCGAGAGTGACTTTAGTGCCCGAGGCTCTGGCCTGCTCCCCGTGGAAGGCGGGACAGCGTTGCCTGTGAAGGGCTGTTTCTGCTTCAGAGATTGGTTTCTGAACCTGGTGGGACGCTGGAAACAAGTTCTTTCAATAGAAAAGTGTTTTCCTCGTTTTGAAATACTCCCATCCGCCAGGCACTTCTTTTTATTACTGAAACAGGATGTGTGTCTGTGGCTATTCAAGCCTTTTTGTTGTTTTTCTTTTTTTTTTTTTTTTTATTGTCGTAAGTTTTACATATGTCTCCTTTTTCCCCAATTGACACCCCCCCCCCAACCATTTCTACCCTGGGCAAGCCCCCACCGCCCCAGGCAAGCCCCCACCGCCCCAGTGCCTGTGTCCATCGGTTCTGCTCATATGCATGCATACAAGTCCTTTGGTTGCTCTCTAACCACCCCCCCCCCCATTTGTCTCTGGGTCTATTGTTGTTCATCAAATTATGTTGATCATTATATCCCACATATGAGTGAGATCATATGATATTTATCTTTCTCTGACTGGCTTATTTCACTTAAGCATAATGCTCTCCAGTTCCATCCATGCTGTTGCAAATGGTAAGAGTTCCTTCTTTTTTACAGCAGCATAGTATTCCATTGTGTAGGTGGACCCGTTTTTTAATCCACTCATCTGCTGATGGGCACTTAGGCTGTTTCCAAATCTTAGCTATGGTGAATTGTGCTGCTATGAACATAGGGGTGCATATCTCCTTTCTGATTGGTGTTTCTGGTTTCTTGGGATCTATTCCTAGAAGTGGGGTCACTGGGTCCAATGGGAGTTCCGTTTTTAACCATTAGAAGAAACTCCATACTGTCTTCCATAGTGGCTGCCCCAGTCTGCATTCCCACCAGCAGTGCACCAGTGTTCCCTTTTCTCCGCATCCTCTCCAGCACTTGTCGTTTGTTGATTTTATTCAAGCCTTTCATGGTGTTAGATGATGGGGAGCCATTTACCAAAGGGATGGATAGACGCAGTGCGACCTTCGCTCGCAGCGAGAGGCGGTAGCCTGTGTCCCAGGAGGGGCGCCCTGAGACCCCCGTTAGCCTGGGCTGCGGGTTACCTGCCCTTGGAATGCAGGGGCCTGTGTGTGCAGCGTCTGTGCTGAGCGGAAAGGTACAGCAGCACGTCTACAATCCAGCCGCCGCCGCTGCAAAGTTTAACGTCTTTGGAGCAAAAGCTGTACGTGGGCAAACTGGTGACGCTAAAGGTCACGTTCGGAGTTAGAATATAAAACAGGCCCCGCCCAGGAAACACGTGTTTTCATCAGCATTTTAATTGTTTTATTTTTAAAATATATATATATTTTAAATATATTTATTAATTTCATAGAGGAAAGGAGAGGGAGAGAGAGAAACATCAGTGATGAGAGAGAATCATGGATCAGCTGCCTCCTGCACGTGCCGTGACCGGGAATCGCACCGTGACCTCCTGGTTCATAGGTCGACGCTCAGCCACGGAGCCACGCCGGCCGGGCTCTATCAGCGTTCTGAGACTTCCTTACGCCGCGCTCTGGTGTGAAATGGCTTCAGCTTTATTCAGTGTTGGCCTTTCTTTCCCTCGGTGCCGTCAGATGTGACCTTTGCTCCTTGTGCTCCCTGTTGTGCAGCCAGGAAGAGAGCGACCACGGAGACCGCCATGGCCCTGGAGAAGCTGTTCCCGAGACAGTGCCAGATCCTGGGGGTCGTGGCCCCGGGGATCGTCGGTGAGAGCGGTGCCCCCGGGCGGTCTCCACCTCGAGTTCCTGCGGGTCCTGTCCTGGGGGGGCTCCTTGTAGCTTAAAGCCCAGGATACGTAGAAGGTGGCTCATTGGCACATCTCAGGGCTGTGTGTACAAACCAGCTGTACTGCACGTCTGCCTTCTTTTTTTTTTTTTTTTTTAATATATTTGTATTGATTTCAGAGAGAGAGAGAAACATCAATGACGAGAGAGAACCATGGACCGGCTGCCTCCTGCACGCCCCCCACTGGGGATGGAGCCCGCAACCCGGGCATGTGCCCCGACCAGGGATCGAACCCTGACCCTTTAGTCCGCAGGCCGACGCTCCATCCACTGAGCCACACCGGCCAGGGCCGCTCTTCTTTTTTTTAAGCTATGTTTTCATTGATTTCAGAGAGGGAGAGGGAGAGAGAGAAACATCAATGTGAGAGGGAATCGTGGATCGGCTGCCTCCTGCACGCCCCCCACTGGGGATGGAGCCCGCAACCCAGGCCTGTGCCCTGACTGGGAATCGAACTGTGACCTCCTGGTTCCTAGGTCGATGCTAACCACTGAGCCACGCCGGCCGGGCACCGGTCCTGTTTTTAATTAGGGCCTCGCCCTTAGGATCTCATGTAACCTTACTTTCCTCTTTAAGGCCTTCTCTCCATATACAGTCCCATTGGAGGTTAGGACTTCAGATGACTTTTGGGGGAGACACAATTTTGTCCCTCACCCCCACCTTTAAAATTCACAACGTATTACAAACATATTTCCATGTCAGTTAGGATGTCTGTCATTCCTAATGGCTACATTTCATTATATAATGTAACTTTTTTTTTAATATTTCAAGAAAAACGATCTTTGATATGTAACGTAAGTTTTAATCTTAATGCCAGTGTAGAGCATTTCAGGTTTTCTTTTCTGTGACTATAAACTCTCTGATAGAAGTATTTCTGTGTGTGTGTGTGTGTGTCTGTGTGTGTGTGTCTGTGTGTGTGTGTGTGTGTGTGTCTGTGTGTGTGTGTGTGTGTCTCTGTGTGTGTCTGTGTCTGTGTGTGTCTGTGTGTGTGTGTCTGTGTGTGTGTGTCTGTGTGTGTGTCTGTGTGTGTGTCTCTGTGTGTGTGTCTCTGTGTGTGTGTGTCTGTGTGTGTGTGTGTCTGTGTGTGTCTGTGTGTGTGTGTGTCTGTGTGTGTCTGTGTGTGTGTGTGTCTGTGTGTGTGTGTGTGTGTGTGTCTGTGTGTGTCTGTGTGTGTGTGTGTGTGTGTCTCTGTGTGTGTGTCTGGGTGTGTGTGTGTGTGTGTGTGTCTGTGTGTGTGTCTCTGTGTGTCTGTGTGTCTGTGTGTGTGTGTGTCTGTGTGTGTGTGTCTGTGTGTGTGTGTCTGTGTGTGTGTGTGTGTGTGTCTGTGTGTGTGTGTGTGTGTGTGTGTGTGTGTGTGTGTGTGTCTGTGTGTGTGTGTGTGTACTTTCCATAATGGCCAAATATTTTAGCCCAGGATACATTTTTAAAGCGGAATTGCTGTGAAGAAGTATTCATTCCCCTCCGCCCCAGACACAACTTTTTATTTAGAAAAACCTCCAACCTATAGAAGAGTTGGGAGAATCATAGGACAGTACACACCCCCCACTCTCCATCTCGAGTCACCATCTGAAGGAATGTTGCAGCACTAGCTTGTTCTGTCTCTGCTCATAAACACGTTTCTTTGCGAACCATTTGCAAGGGAATCGCAGACATCACGACTCTGTGCCTCTAAGAATGTCAGAGCTGAACGCGTTCTCAGATAGTGGCCTGGGAGCCTGCTGGCTGGTGGTCCGGGTGGGGCTGGCCACGTGCGCGGGGACGGGACGAATCCCCCGTTTTTACTGACTGTGGACGAAGCTGCTTCCCTTTCTCCTAGTGACGCCCATGGGCCCCGGGAGCAGTCGGCCGCAGGAGATAGAGATTGGAGAGTCCGGGTTTGCCCTGCTGTTCCCTCAGGTGGAAGGAATAAAAATACAGCCCTTCCGTTTTGTCAAGAATCCAAAGAATTTATCGCTAGAAAGACGTCGCTTCACTGAAGCCGGTAAGTCGCTGTCGTGACGGTCGGTTCCCGTCTCGGTGGTGGATTCTGGGAGGGTCCGAATGAAGCTCACGCCCCCGGAGGCGTGGGCGAGTCGGACTGGCCATGAACGAGGCTGGTGCGGTGCATTCTGAGTTTTAGAAAAAGTGTGAGTTCAGCCCGGCCGGTGTGGCTCAGGGGTTGAGCGTCGACCTAGGAACCAGGAGGTCAGGGTTCGATTCCCGGTCAAGTCACACGCCCGGGTGGTGGGCTTGATCCCCAGTGGGGTGTGCAGGAGGCAGCCGGTCCACGATTCTCTCTCATCGTGGATGTTTCTCTCTCTCTCCCTTCCCCTCTGAGATCAATAAAAATACGTTTAGAAAAGAAGGAAAAAGTGTGAGTTCGGGCAGACTGTCGTGCGAGGACACACCAGGCAGAGGACGCAGGCGGGTCCCGAAAGGCCACCGCGAGACGTTAGAGAACGGGCTTAGCGTCTCAGCTCTGATGCGAAAGCGTAATTTTCCATGAAGCGACACGCTAGCTACTCAGCGAAGTGTGGCCTTTTATCTACATCTGCAAATGAATCGATAGATCGATCGGCACTAACTGGTTAAAAAAAACCTCTGTTGGCATAGAAACTATTCAGTGGTGCCCCCCGGTGTGCGTGCCAGCCGCCCGTGGAGATGAGCCCCCGTTACTGGAAATGGCTCTGAGGCCCGTGGGGGTAAAAGATTGTGCAGCCGCCAAGGGGAACCTCTGTGAATGGCTTGCTAATCAGAAGAGGAAAGGAGCCCTGGCCGGTGTGGCTCGATGGATAGAGCCTCGGCCTCAGGACTAAAGGGTCTCGGGTTCGATTCCGGTCAAGGGCACGTACCTCGGTTGCAGACTCGATCGCCAGCCCTGGTTGGGACGAGGTGTTTGGGAGGCAACCGATCGATGCGTCTCTCACATCGATGCTTCCTTCTCTCTCCGTCTCTCCCCCTTCTCTTCCGCCATTTAGTTTTTATTTTTTAATGTATTTTTATTGATGTCAGAGAGGAAGGGAGAGAGAGAAATGTCCATGATGAGAATGTGACCCTTGACCAGAATCGAACCCGGGACCCTTCAGTCCACGGGCCGACGCTCTATCCACTGAGCCACACCGGTTAGGGTGGGTCTTAGATTTTTTAATGGGAAAATTGTTGCCCAGATGTTGAGTCGTGTTACAGTTTGTAACAGTCAGGGGACTTGTATATGCTAGTAACTCGGAGAGCATGTCACTCAACGCGATGAAAACGGAGTTTCCTTCGAGTGCCGGTGCCGTCCCGTCCGCAGGCGTCCCTCACGGCTGCCCTTCCCCCCACAGGCCTCCTGGACAACCCCGAGCTCCGCGTGGTGCTGGTGTTCGGCTACAACTGCTGCAAGGTGGGGGCCAGCAGCTACCTGCAGCGCGTCGTCCGCACCTTCAGCGACACCAACGTCGTGGTGGCCGGGGGCCAGGTGGACAACCTGGTGTCGCTGACCTCTGACACGTACGTCCGGCTTTCCCCGCGCCGGGGCGCGTTCCAGGGGTTTTGTTGCCGCGGGTCTTTTGGGTTTGTTTTTTATTTGATTTCTTCCTCCGGCTTTATTGTCAGACACGCTGTACGAACACAGCACAGCAGACAGCAGGGGTCCTCTTGGGAAAAAAAAACACAGCAAGAAAGGGAGAGGTTCCAGAAACTTTATGGACCGAGCAACATAAAGCTAAAAATGGCCCTAACTGGTGTGGCTCAGTGGATAGAGCGTCGGCCGGCAGACTGAAGGGTCCCAGGTTTGATTCCTGGTCAAGGGCACATGCCCAGGTTGTGGGCTGGATCCCCAATGTGGTGCTTGCAGGAGGCAGCCGATCCAGGATTCTCTCTCATCACGGATGTTTCTCTGTCTCTCTCCCTCTCCCTCCCTCTCTGAAACTAATAAAAATATATATATTAAAAAAAAAAATAAAGCTAAAAACGCCCTCCATGATTGAATATTTATAGCTGAGTATTCGGGGGGAAAAGACCCCAAAGATGTAAATAATACCGAAAAGCTGCACTTACGAGGCCTCACTATGTGCAGGGATAGAAGGGCAAGGCGACTGTTAAGGCAGCGAGGAAGGTCGGGGTCCCCCCTACACACGCAGGCGTGGGTCAGGAATCTGGGTGGAGGTACCTTTGCCCTTTTGTACTTGTTTTAAAATATATATATATATATATATATATATATATATATATATATATATAACACTTTTTAAAAATATATTTTTATTGATTTCAGAGAGGAAGGGAGAGGGAGAGAGATGGAAACATCAATGAAGAGAGAGAATCACTGACCGGTTGCCTCCTGCACGCCCCCCACTGGGGATCGAGCCCGTAACCCCGGCCTGTGCTCTTGACCGGGAATCGAACCCAGGACCTTTCAGTCCACAGGCCGATGCTATTATACCTGTGTAAATTTTATTGATTTCAGAGAGAAAGAGAGAGAGAAACATCAATGAAGAGAGAGAATCACTGACCGGCTGCCTCCTGCACGCCCCCCACTGGGGATCGAGCTGTGACCTCCTGGTTCATAGGTGGGCGCTCGACCACTGAGCCACACGGGCCAGGCTGATCTCTCCTGCGAACACGTGGCACGTTCCGTGTTGTCTCGTGCTGAGCGGGCCCTGTTCTGCTTTGCGTTCCCCAGGTGCCCCCTGGACGTCGATGGCACCGGCGTGGTCGGGCTGTCGGTGAGCGGCCAGCGCGTGCAGAGCGCCACGGTGCTGCTCAGCGAGGACGTCAGCGACGAGAAGGCCGTGGAGGCCGCCGTGCAGCGCCTCAAGGCAGCCGGCATCCCCGAGCGGGACACGGTGGGCTTCATGTTCGCCTGCGTGGGCCGCGGCGCCCAGTTCTACCGGGCCCAGGGCAACGTGGAGGCCGACGCGTTCCGGAAGGCCTTCCCCGGCGTGCCCCTGTTCGGCTTCTTCGGCAACGGCGAGATCGGGTGCGACCGCGTGGTCGCGGGGAGCTTCGTGCTGCGGCGCTGCAGCGAGGTGCGGGCCGAGGACCTGTTCCACAGCTACACCACCGTCCTGGCGCTGGTGCACCTGGGCGCCTCCCGGTGAGGCCGCGGTGCCCCCCGCCTGCGGGCGCGGCCTCGGGAACATGGGACCGGGGAATATATGTCTTTGAAACGAACATAGCTCCATGCATGTGTTCTGTGGCTCGGATGCCCTAAGGGGTTCTCGGGTGGTTTCCCACACGTCAGAGGAAGGAGGGCTGTGGCATCGGATCGGGCGCGCACCCGCCGCCGATCGTGGCGCTGGCCCAGGTCCCGCGGCTGCCGGGCGCGTCCTGTAACCAGACGGGAAGGGCCGTGACCGGTGGGCGTCCGTGGCTCCCTCTGCAGGGCGAGCCGGTCGTTGAGCAGAGTCACGAAGACACTTTTCTCCCTGAATAAAGGCGGAAACGGTTCGGACGGCCCGAGATCTTCCTCCGCGTCACAGCTCGACCAGGTTTTCCAGCAGCGACAACAGAAGGGTGACGGACTTGTCACGCCTTCGATAAACACGAAGGAGCTTTTTTGTCTTCCTGCTCCCACGTGGCTCAGCGGGTACACGGCCAAGGCGCGTGGGCAGTATTTTATTCTCCGACGAGGAAAAGGTTTTCTGCCCCCCAACCCCTCCCCCCCGCCCCCAGGTCTTCACTGCAGGATGACTTCCACCTGCATGTCCCGCCTGATGTCCCGTCACTAACGACTGATCGACACTTTCGTTGCCAAGGCTCAGCGGCCCCACAGGGCGGCGGCAGCGCGTCCGGGAGGTGGAATCCGGTGCTGCCTTTCCCGCCGGTCTGTCCTCAGTCGCTCTGCCCCCGTTTTTACCTCGAGCGATTGTCCTCTTCCCGCGACGTTTGTGATAAAGTTACTGGAAGTTTCCTCCGGTTGACAGTTCCCTCCATCCCAGCTCCTGAAGTACAGAGAAAAGTGACGGTCAGAACCTCTGGTCTCTGAATCGCGATGGACTCATTGTCATGTCACATTGGTGCCGTTACCAAGGAGACGGGGCGGCAGAGTCTGAGTCCTTGGGGGTGACCACACGGCATTTACGGAAATGCCGTGTGGATCTTTGTTCCGGGATAGATAGCACAGGAAAAAGAAGTTGAAAACTGAGAAATTTTTAAAATATGAGCCGGGGCAGGCGGGGGGGGGGGGGTGTGTGTGTGAATGAATGACGTTTTTTTTCCAGATTAATATATAAAGTGTTTTGTTCCTCCTCAGAGGGGAGCCCGGTGCGGGGCCCTTTGCTGTACTCTGTGGGGTGCACGTGGGTTCCTGTTATGCCGAGCCTTTGGGCCGGTTTTGGACGGAAGATTCCTTAGGCGACAGGGCGATCGTTCCCTTGGTCGGGGGCAGAAGGCAAAGCTGAGCCCGCAGAAGCCGCAGACGTACAGCAAGTCCTCGCTGAGCGTGGCTGTGGATGGTGTGGCACTGTGGTGACATGACATACGGTGAAGCCGGTTTTGCCACAGGCAACCTGGTGGCGAGTTAAGTTCCCGTGGCGTCTCATTGCCGTGTAACAAAATGACCCTGAATGCTCAGTGTGGCTCTAAGTGCTGCGATGTTACTCGTAGCTTTCCCGCCTCGCAGAGGCCTGAGGTCGCATGGGGAGGGAGTGAAGGGAGTCGTCATGGCACCAAAGTTAGAAGGAAATAACGTGGACAATTGTGAATCAAGGCTGGTCCTAAAGCAAAGCCGTCATGACAGGAATAGTTACCGTTTCAGCTAAAAACATAAGTAAACGCCCCTAGAAGCAGCCACTGTTGCAGCCGCTTGTGAAAAAGGAGGAGGGTCCCGTGAACCGTGGACGCGAGGAGAGAAGGTGCCCCCGGTGTGCTGGCAGTGTCTCCCACACCGGCCGGCCTTCCCTTGAGTGAGGGCAGACGGGTGGGTGGTTTGTTTAATCGGGACGTTAAAGAACATTCACCACCCCCCCCCATGTGCTCCCCAAGCACCATCTTCCCGCAGCCGCGGGCGGCGGCGAAGGGAATCGATTCCCAGCCCCTTTCCCAAGTGGACGTGAACTCCTCCTGGGCCCGTGGCCACCCCGGGAGGGACAGGGAAGGCAGGCCTTGCTCGTCGACGCGAGGGATCATCCGGGACCTCTTCCCACCAGGGTCCTGTCGGCGGCCAGGTCACCTTGCAGGTCCCTCCCACAGGCCTGAGCCCGGACGCCGGGCAGACACAGCACCTTCCCAGCAAGTCAGAGGCCGGAGAGCAACAGCTCTGCCGTTCACTAATACTGTGCACGTTCAGCGCGGGGACTGTGTGGAGAATGTAAATAAATTCTACGAGTCCACGTAGGAATTGTCGAGAAGAAAAAATAAATCTCCTTTGTCACTTGACGCCCACCCCACACGACCGAGGTGAGCCCCACCGCACAGCACGTGTTCGTGGGCCGAGAGCTCCTCTGGATCGGAGACGGCGCGGTTTTCAGACGACTGGCCGGATTTTCCTTCGTAGAGACTGGGCGAGGGTCTGCTTCCTAAAAATCCTAAAATCCCAGGACGGAGCATCAGTGACAACGTCCCTGTGAAATGAACAAAATCAATGCCGGTTTCACGCGAAGAGCGTGTCCCCGAGTTGGTTTTCAGTGTTTTTGTCTTAGACACGCGCCGCTTTTGCCCTACAGCACAGCCGAGACGGGCGACAAGAATATGCGCGACTAGAAGGAAAGCGGCCGAGGCCGGTAAACGTCATTTCAGGTTTCGGCACAAAGTGTGGAGGAGCGTTTCCATTTATAAACAGTTTGTATAAAAGTTATTGTTCTTGGGGGGGGGGCAATCGGAGGAAAAGGAGATATTGTCATACTTTAAACAATTTTAAAAAACAATGTAAAAAGAAAAAGTTCTCCAGTGACTGTCGTCACAGCCTGCAGAAAAGGCGAGATTCGTAATTCCCAGAAACTGGAAGAAAACCTCTAAATGGGCTTTTAGACGCAAATGATCAGATGCAGAATTTTGAGACAACTTTCTTTTTTAATCCTCACTCAAGGATATTTTCCCATTGCTTTTTAGAGAGAGTGGAAGGGCGGGGAGGGGGGCAGAGAGAGAGAGAGAATGAATGTGAGAGAGAGACATCAGTTGGTTGCCTTCAACCTGCAAACCCAGGTACGTGCCCTTGGCTGGAATCGAACCCGAGACCCTTCAGTGCGCGGGATGACGCCCCAACCAGCGGAGCCACACTGGCCAGGGCCGCCCCGTTTTCCTGAAAGTCACTGTTGCTTCTGCTTTCTATTAAGTTTCAGGGTAACTTGACAGTTGGACAAAACGGGACACTATTCCGGCCTCATGGATTCTTTATCTGCCACCTAATACGATGAAAATCCTTGATTCTGCACAATCGTGCCCTAAAAATTAGAAGCCTCATGGGGGGAGGGGGGGAATGAGTTTGGAACTTTGAAACCTGAGCAGGAATGAGAACAAGGATCCTAAATGTCTACCAGCAGCCGCCTTGAGAATTAGCGGGTCGGTCACAGCAGCCGTCAGCTTTTGGGGGCGCCGTTTCTTCTGAGCTGTAGATCCGTGAAACCAACTGCTTTTAATAGCAACCGTTTCCGTCAACATTAAAAGGACGTAGCGGTGTCTCCCTCAGCAGCCGGCGTTGTCTGTCTCCTCACCAGGCGAAACGGCTTCATGGCTCACCCGCACTCAGCCTCACAGTGAAAAGGTGGGTGATTTTTTTTTTTAAATATATTTTATTGATTTTTTACAGAGAGGAAGGGAGAGAGGTAGTTACAAACATCGATGAGAGAGAAACATCGATCAGCCGCCTCCTGCACACTCCCACCGGGGATGTGCTCACAGCCAAGGTACCTGCCCTTGACCGGAATCGAACCCGGGACCTTTCAGTCCGCAGGCCCACGCTCTATCCACTGAGCCACACCGGTTTCGGCCAAAGGTGGGTGATTTTTTTTAAGTGACGTGTGTGTGCGTGTGTGTTTTCAACAACATTTTTATTGATTTCAGAGGAAAAGGGGGGGAGTGAGAGAGCAACGTCCATGACGAGAATCACGGATCGGCTGCCTCCTGCCCCCCCCACTGGGCATGGAGCCCGAAACGCTGACCGGGAGTCGAACCCCGACCTCCTGGGTCATCGGGCGACGCCCAACCCCTGAGCCACACTGGCCGGGCGGGAGCCGTGGCCTCGCCCTGTAGCAGGGCGGCCTGTCCGGGGGAGCGGGGAAGGACGGAGTCCGTGTTTCCTTTGCCTCCGGCCGGCTGCCGGCTTCTGGACCAGCATGACCAGCTGCGCTCGGACAGTCCCTCCTTCCGCGTCTTCCGTGGCCTGGAGCGGCGGTTCGCGACCTTCCGCACGCGCGACCCTTAATGCCGCTCCTCGGGCTGTGGCGACCCCGATGTCATGGTGACCAACTGAGCGCCATGAAAGCATCGGGACTCGTCACAAAGACAATCTGTAATGATATGTGCGCTTCCCGATGGTCTCGGGCGACCCCTGTGAAAGGGCCGTTCGACCCGCAAAGGGGTGGCGACCCACAGGTTGAGAAGCGCCGGTCTAGAGACTAAGAGGGAAGAGGTTCTCCCATGTTTTCTTTCTATGCAGCCCCCCCACAGGCCTCTTACCTCGTTCCGTGCGCGCCCCCTGCTGGCTGTGCGGTGACGCAGTCCAGGCGGACCAGCAGCGCCTCCAGCCAAGCCCGCGGCCTGTTGTGCCCGCCCCGCCCCGCCCGTCAGAACCTGGCAGGGGTGTCAGCGCCCCCTTCAGGTCGCGCAAGGAAGTGCCCCTGCCTTTCCTTGGCCGTTTTCTGTTTTCTCTGTTATCCAAAGTGCTAACAGGCCTGCGGACCTTTTTTTTTTTTTTCCCCCTTCCATTTATTGCAAAGGACAAAGCAGAGGGTAAGGGGAGAGGGCTGCTGGGGCGAGTGAGTCTCAGCCACGAGAATAACAGATGGCGAGAGAACAGGAGAAACACAGGACTGAAGGGCCGGGAGCTAGTGAGGGCTTGGGGTGCAGGCGAGTCCCCCTCAGCCGGTGGCCGCGAGGCCGCCCCCCCCCCCCCAGCCCCCCGTGCCCGCGGGAGTGGAAGTGCGGACGAGAACCCGGGTCTGGGAGCTGGACTCCACTGGGTTTAAATCTGAGACCCAGATGCGTGATTTTTATTTGTAATCTTTTTTTTAAATATATTTTTTATTGATTTTTACAGAGAGGAAGGGAGAGGGATAGAGAGTTAGAAACATTGATGAGAGAGAAACATCGATCAGCTGCCTCCTGCACGCCCCCCACTGGGGATCGAGCCCGCAACCAAGGTACATGCTCTTGACTGGAATCGAACCCGGGACCCTTCAGTCCGCAGGCTGACGCTCTATCCATTGAGCCACACCAGTTAGGGCTTTGTGATAAGTCTATGAAAGTATTACACAGGCCCCCGTGTCCCCCATTAACCTCTTCCATCTGCCCCTGTCTTCCCCCCCTCCCCCAGGCCCTCCCCCCCCCCCCACTGTCCGTGCCCTCTGCACACGAGGCTTCTGGTCGATCTCTCCCCACCCCCGCCCCTGCCTTCCCTCTGAGGCTCAGCCGTCTGCTCCTGCTCCTGCATCTCTGGGTCTGTGGTGGGTCGTCCGTTCGTCTGGCTCATGGGCCCACATGTGAGGGAGACCAGGGGACGCCCGTCTTCCTCTGACGGGTGGATTCTGCCCGCGTGACGCCCTCAGATGTGTGATCGTGCTCTGAGCTTCGGGTCCTCCTTCGTGGAGTGAGAACAAGGCCAGCTGCCTCACGGCGGGTGTGAGCGCTGGTCAGAGTGAGCACGTGTGAAACATGAGCCGCGGGGCCTGGCGGCAGGGGCAGCTGAGGTCGGGATGATACCGTGACGCTGATTTCCTTCTGTTTGCACGAAAAGATGGCTGATAAGTAATTATAATCTAAACCAGAAGCCTGGTGCACGAAATTTATACACGGGGGGGGGGGGTGGTTCCCCTCAGCCCATTCTGCACCCTCTCCAATCCGGGACCCCTCAGGGGATGTCCAACTGCCGGTTTAGGCCCAATCGCAGGGATCGGGCCTAAACCAGCATTCAGACATCCCTCTCACAATCTGGGACTGCTGGCTCCTAACTGATCACCTGCCTGCCTGATCACCCCTAACTGCCCCCCCTGCTGGCCTAGTAACCCCCAACTGCCACCCCTGCCGGCCTGGTCGCCCCACACAGCCTGCTGTTCAGTTGTTACTGTGATGGCATCCCAGACAATTTGCATATTCCTCTATTATTAGTATAGATGTAATCCAGGACTGTGGGCTGTGGGTCTATATTCAGAGCACACGAGACGTGAGCAGACCTCTCAGAGGGGAGGGAGCGGCAGGCTTTCTGGTGTGGCCAAGGGCGTGTCCTGGTGCAGCACATACCATGATGCTGTGATTTTCCTAAGTTACACATGAGCTAAAATACCTCGTCCTTGGGAGAGACAAATAAGCAGGTAATTAATATGAGCAGCGGAGACCAGTAACTCATAAGGCAACAGTGGAAAGTGAAGGATTTCTGACCTTTGTTGTGACATCTTTTTTACCCTACATTTTTTTAAAAGTTGCAACTTAATATTTGAGTTCCAAACTCTTTTCCCAATTAAGCCAGAGAACCTCTGTGGGAAGCCTCCAGTGGTATGATACACACACACACAACTTAATTAATTTTATTGATTTTTTTACAGAGAGGAAGGGAGAAGGATAGAGAATTAGAAACATCGATGAGAGAGAAACAGCGATCAGCTGTCTCCTGCACGTCCCCTACTGGGCATGTGCCCACAACCTTGACCACAATTGAACCTGGGACCCTTCAGTCCGCAGGCCAACGCTCTATCCACTGAGCCAAACCGGCTAGGGCCGGAATCAGATTTTAAACACGTGTCCCCAAGTAATTCTTTTTTTTTTTTTTAAATATATCTTTATTGATTTCAGAAAGGAAGGGAGAGGGAAAGAGAGAGAGAAACATCCATGATCAGAGAGAATCATTGATTGGCTGCCTCCTGCACGCCCCCTACTGGGGATCGAGCCCGCAACCTAGGCGTGTGCCCTTGACCAGAATGGAACCTGGGACCCTCAGTCCACAGGCTGACGCTCTATCCACCGAGCCAAACCTGCTAGGGCCCCAAGTAATTCTGACAAGACAAGTTTAAGAACAAGCAGAAGAGGCCAGCCACAGATCTTCACAGCTCCTGTACATCGGGGAACGTCGGACCCGTGGGCCAAGTAAGGCCCGAGACATCATTCATTCGGTCTGGCCTGCCAAGGCGTTAGGGCTGAGCTAATTAAACGTTGGACCAAACAGAGCAGGCTAATTTTCCAGCTGATGATTCTGTATGGGCCTCGAATAATGTTCTAAATTCCCTACTGGCCCCAGGCAGAAAAGAGGTCCCCACCCCTGCAACCGATCAGCCTCGAGGGCTAATCCTCCCCTGGGGGTTTGAAAAGAAGAGCAGGACCAGTTTGGGGAAAGCAGACTGGCCAAGAGAGGGGAAGATTTGAGTTTGGATACCTGCTGTGAAGTGGGACGCCACCAGGGGGCAGCACAGAGCTGACAAACATGTTTGGGGATATTTTTGATTTCTCGTGACGCATACAACGGTGGCACCTACATTTTTTACAAACTCAGATTAAAAAAAAAAAAGCACTTGAAAGGCACGTGTTAACGATGTTAGCATATGCTTCCCAGTCTTAGGGTTCTTATAGACAGCGATCGTAGAAAAAAGTTCCCTAATGAACAACATAAGCTGATGAACAAAAACAGATCCAGAGACAGAGAAACATCGATCAGATGCTCAAACCTCAGCGGGAAGGTAGGGGAGGGTGGGGTAAGGGGGAGAGATCAACCAAAGGACTTGTATGCATGCACATAAGCCTAACCAATGGACACAGTCACCAGGGGGGTGAGGGCATGAGCGGGGGTGGGGTGGGGGGGACAATAGGGAGATAAGGACACATGTAATACCTTAATAAAGAAAGAAAAAGAAGTTCCCTTACAGTAGCATTGCACTGAATCAAAAAATTGTATTAGACGACAAAGATTCCAGGGAAACAGAAGTGTTCCAAATTCTCTGTCTGCAACTTTCAAAATGCTTGTCCCACTCTTTAAAAAAAAACTACAGGCCCGGTGCACAAAAATTTGTGCACTCGGGGGGGTCCCAACCTGTGCCCTCTCGCAGTCTGGGACCCCTCGGGGGATGTCCACCTGCTGGCTTAGGCCCACTCCCCAGGGATCAGGCCTAAGCTGGCAGTAAGACATCCCTCTGGCAGTCTGGGACCCCTCGGGGGATGTCCACCTGCTGGCTTAGGCCCACTCCCCAGGGATCAGGCCTAAGCTGGCAGTAAGACATCCCTCTAGCAGCCCGGCAGACCTCGGGGGATGTCCACTTGCCAGCGGGGAGCAGGCCTAAGCTGCAGTCGGACATCCTTAGCGCTGCTGAGGAGGTGGAGAGGCTCCCACCACCACCACTGTGCTGGAGGCCATCTGCCTGGCTTGTGGCTGAGTGGGGCTCCCCCATGTGGGAGCGCACTGACCACCAGAGGGCAGCTCCTGCATTGAGCATCTGCACCCTGGTGGTCAGTGTGTGTCATAGTGACCAGTCATTCCCAGTCGTTCTGCTGTTAGGGTCAATTTGCATATAACCCTTTTATTATATAGGATATATATTTTTATTAATTTCAGAGAGGAAGAGA